CGGCATAAGCACCTGCCTTGCAAGCAGGCGGTCGTGAGTTCGATCCCCAGTACCGATAAAAAGGAAAGAAATCCAGATCATCACTAAATAGTTGTGAGGGTATGAATGGAGATATGGCCCCAGAGAGATGAGGGATAGATAGATAGATAGATAGATAGATAGATAGATAGATAGATAGACAGTTCAAACTAGGCTGTAGCAAATGATTTGACTGGTTGATCAAAGACAAGACAAAAAGGTTTAAAGAAGCATGTAGGTAAGTCTATGGGAAGAGGCAAAAGAATGTGTAAATCTTTGTGTTTCTTATCTGTGCCATCCATGAATATTCAACTCAGAGAAGGTATGGAACAATCAGATGTCTAGGATGACTCTTTCAATGGAGTGAGCTGAACAATGCCATGGGCCACCCCATTGCTTCTTCAGGGGGCTCCTGAACAAAATAGCCATGGTGAGAGAAATGGAAATCATGACCAACTCTAATCTAGTGACTCCTGCTGATTATCTGCAGTAATTAGTGCAGAGGCTGAACCAAAACCCTAAATGTAGTTCTGTTGTTGGGTAGCTTGTTTCTAAAAAGGAGCTCACCAACTAAATATTACCAGGTTCTGGATAGCTCAGCTCTCCTGGAGTTGGATTATAGGTTCTTTTAGCCTCAAACAAAGAGTTGAACTAAATGAGCCAAAAGCAGTGGCAAACTGTTCAAGAAATCAAAAATGAAGAGTGGGAGAGAAACAAGCTCTGCAGACTGAGGTTAGACTAAGTAAATAGAAAAAGAAGATAAGAGCAAAGACAAGAGTACACACTGTATCTGGGAAACACAGTGTGAGTGATCAGAAAGTTATGATAGCAAAGCCTTCATGGCATCATGTGTCCTTTTATACTGTCTAAATTAAAAAAAAAAAAAGAAAATCCTGCATACAGGTCCTAAGAGCCAGTGCTGAGATCCCACACCTTAGGCTGATGTCAAGTCTAGTCCATCCTATTGAAAACCTAGTTGAATTCTCTGGAGAAGTCCACATGCAGGGAATTATTCTGTGCATGTGTCCAGGATCTTGTACTTAACAAGTGTTATGGTGTCTAGATGACCCCCCAAAGCTTCACGTGGTCCTTGGTGGAGTTTTTTTTGGGGGTGGCTGAATCTAGAATGTGAGTGATTGATTTACAGAGCAATGCTGGGATTAAGAGTTGGGTGATTGCTGGATCAGTCCATTGATTGGATTGGCACCTCTTTAATCCCAGTAGACTGGATATAATATAAGAGACAGGAATAAGGACTGGATAAGGACTTGATATAAGATAAGGGACACAGTGCTTGTTGCACTCCCTCTTCCCTTTTGATGTCTCCTGGTTCCATGAACTGTTGTCCTCTGCCATGTGTCACCCTGTCTTTTTTTTTTTCATGTCAGATGGGTAATGTGCCGCGGTCATAACAAGGTTGAAAGGAAGCACATATCATGCATAGAGCATGAACACCCAATCATCACGCTTATGAACCTGAGGATCGTGTCACCCTGTCTTGGAGTCAGCTGATTAGGGACTGAAACCTCTAAACTATGAGCTAAACAAACCTTTCCCCTTTTGACTTTGGGTTTGGGTATTCTGTCTTAGAAACAAGACAAAAGTAACTAAAACAACAGGTCACACTCACTTCCACAGCCAGCTTCTGTCAAGGCCTAATCTCCTACCTCAGTACCATGCCTCAAAGAGCACCAGCTACTTGGTGAATTGATTCCATCAAAAGTAGTCTATCTCAGAAGGGGGAGACTTCTCACTACTGGAATTGGGTCCAAGAATGGGTTTGCCCCTTAAATCTTCAGATCCTGGATCAACACTATAATTAGAGTGTTTATAATGTGTCCAATACATCATTGTGGAATTCCACATAATATGATCTTAGCTCAGTATTTCTCAAATTTGCCATATCTCAAGTGGAAAACTGTTTCCCATGCTCACATTCCTAAGGAGACTTTTAGACATTTTTTCCTAGCTGCTACCCCATTGAAATTCTAATATGACACATATTGTATCTCTGCTTATGCATTGTTTGTGTACCCGTATTTTATACCTAAAAAGAGATTTGCTTTGCTCATTAAGAACAAAATTTTCAGGCTAAGGGTGTAGTAGCTCAGTAGTACAATACTTCCGTGGTTCACAATGCTTCTGTTTGCAAACAATTTGGTTCACAAACAAAAGCATTCTGCAAAATTTTGCTTCTGTTTGCAAACTCCACATTGGGTGACAACACAACAGTTATCTACTCCACACAAACACTAATGCAGCACTCTTCTCCCAAAATCATAGAGCAAATTAAGTTCTTTTTTTTTTTTTTTTTGCTCTTTAGATTTCTTGAGAGCAAATTAAGTTCTTAAAGCAAATATTACTTGTTTCTAGATATCCCCTCAGAGTCTCATGAAGTCATACGTGGGGCTTTTTAGAGGTGGCTGGATCTGAAATGTGTCATACTGGAATTAAGGGTATATGATTCCTAAATTAGTCCACTGACTGGTTTGGCACAGTTCTGAGTGTGGATAGTGGCAAGGCCCACCCTAAGTGTGAGTACTACCTGCCTTAAGGATGTGTAGCCTGGAGATAATGTAAGGGACAGAAAAAAAGGTTGCTGTGGTCGTTTGCTGCTTGCTACTTTGATTCTTCACTATTTTGCTGCCTTCTTCTTTGTATGAAATGTTTCCTCTCTCCAATGCCATGCCACTGTGCCTCAGAACCATCCAACTCAGAACCATCTTCCACAAACTGTGAGATATAAAATCTTTTCCTCTTTTAATTTTGGTTGTCAGGTATTTTGTCTCACCAATGAGTAGGCAACTGTAGAGTGCTTGAGGCTGTAGGTTCCATCCCCAACACACACACACACACACACACACACACACACACACACAATCACATATGCACTTGTACATGCACGCACACACACGCATATATACACTCACAGAGAGCTGTGGGGGACTGTCTCTGTGCTGTCCTTTATCTACTTATACGTATCATCTAGGGACTGATGTCCTGTTATAATGGTGCAATGGCCTCTTAATGATGCAGTATCTCAAGAATAATAATTTGCAGAATCGGAGTACTGGCCCAGATATTGTATGGTATTTACATGGTCACAATATTCCAATAGGTAGATTCAAAGATTGGTTATAATTTCAGCAGGTAGAAAACATTAGTCTAGGAAACAAGAAATGAATGACCTCTGTCACCATGACCTACTTGAAGGAATTCATGCTTCCCATCCCTTCAACTGCAGGCTCTGCTGGACTTCAGCTCGTGGCTCAAAGAACATGGAAAAGGACACTACTACTAGGGACATCAAAAGGGACCCACTAAAACTGTGGCCAACACCTGGCCATTTGTGATTCCTCTAGTCACTAAATCAGCAAGAAAGGAATAACCATCCCCACAGGACTAAGTGATTATTGTGAGGCAAAAGAGGCAGTGATAGGTGTAGGGAAGAATATGTCTAGAGCCTAGGAATTTTTCGGGGGTCCATCTTTATTTTCCTGGTCTGGTGATAAACATACATTGGCAATTTCAGCAAATAATGTCTGACAAGAGCCTGATAACTGGAGCTAAGATCCTCTAGGGCTGATGATCATTGGGATAAAAGATCTTGCTATCAAACAATCTAAATAAGCAGAATAACTGATTGTAAACAGGAATCTATGTGTGTAATGTATTTGTTTTATTTAGGATATTTATTCACTAATTCGTTCAGTATAGCATACAACATGATGTTCCAACAGAGAGTGTAAAATTGAGTATCATAATAAAATACCATAGACTGAGTATCTAAACACAGAAATTCATTCTTTCGCTATCTGGAGGCTTGAACTCCAAGAAGTAGATCAATGTGCCAGTATGGTTGGTTTCTTCTCAGGCTTTTCTCCTTGGTTTGCAGATGGCAAATGGCCACCACTCATGTAATTTATTGACTTAGGACTGTCTGTAGCAACAGGACCGTAGGCTGGCCTACTGAATTTCCGTGTGTGTGTGTGTGTGTGTGTGTGTGTGTGTGCATGCATGTATAAAAGTTGAGATTTGAAAAAAGTGGCAAGATGGAATCAAAGTAATGTGGACACAGATGAATTTGAGCCACACAAAGCAAGATACTAATGGTACACATCCATAAACTTTCAGTGCCTGTCATTTCGGTAAGCAGCCATCCAACTTTGATCTTCCCAGGACTATGTCTTTTTTTTTTTTTTTTTGTCTTTCTTATTTTTATCGGTACCAGGGATCGAACTCACGACTGCCTCTTGCAAGGCAGGCTCTTATGCCGCTGAGCTAAATCCCCAGCCCCCAGAGCTATGTCTTGACCTGAGCATTCTCTCAGACTTGTGAAACCCATTCAGTGATCACTAGAGGCAGTCTAGATGTGCTTCCAGGAAAGTAACACCTCCCAGAGTCAGCCCTCAACCTCCAACTGGTTGGAGTCCTTAGCAGAATTAGGCTCTAGTTGCCCACTGGGTAGCTAGCTTGATAATGTATGCTTTTTGCTATCCTTACTTTCTCTACCTCACTTCTTCACTCGCATACTGGTGCTTTCTGGGATCAATCCTATAAGGACCAGAAGCCCCCTATACACACACACACACACACACACACACACACACACACACACACGTTTTCTTTCAGAATGCCTTCACTGCTCTGTGACTCAGACAAATAAAGGTTTTTCCTAGCAAGCATGAGCCCAAGTCAAACTCTGAAACATTCCCAGATGCTGATAAAGATGTTTAGGTTGCTGACCAAAGCAGCTAAGGAAACTGACCCCAGCCCTATGGCGAAATGCTTTCTAGAGCCTGATCCCCTCACTGTGAACAGACCTTTAAGTTGTAGCACAAGTTCCCCTAAACATGCTTTCAATATGTTATATGCATTTCTCAGTAAAGTAACACTGCAGTTGATACATGACCTCCCTGATCAGCAGTTTGCTTTTCTGCATTTTAATAACTGCAAATGTGATAAGCAATGGGGATCACATAAAGCTTTGAAGAGAAAACTTTATTTAACTTCATATCAAAGTGACAAAGCAATAAAAATACTACTTCTCATTTATGAAACACATCAAATTACACTCACCAATAGAAAAGGGAAATCCCTGAGGAATTGCCAACAATAAATAATATACTTAAAACAAGACCATTCTGAGTGTATTAAGGACATTTCCTGAGCCTGTTTAGTTTGGGGAAGTCAATGGCTCTTCACAAACTTGAATTTCTCAAAAGGATATCCAACTGATGCAAGTTTCATGTCATCATGAGAAGCTGCTGCATTTAGTAACACTTTATATTACAAGAGGAAAAAAGAATCAATCTTTTAGTTAATTTATCCATAGTCCTTGGAAAGCTACTGCACCAAGCATTAAAGAGAAATATTTGCTTTTTGTAGTTACATAGAGTACAACATACCAAATAAGTAATAGCAATATTTTAACTTATCATTCATTAAAATGTGAAATTTTCTCAGTGTACAAATGTTGTACAAAAGTCAATGAACTCCCTGCTGTTTGTGGGTAATGAAGTAAGACCCAGATATTTCAGAAGGTTTAAGACTGACTCTTTAAAGATTCCAGGGTCCAGCAAACAAAAGATTCTCAGTGGAGATCCAGGATTGAAGACTGCCTTTGGAACTCTGATGTTCTCTTGAGGTATACTGAAAATACTGTATTTCATTGATTCTAGCATCCTTTTACCACTTTACATCTCAAATTCAAGTAGGCTTGGCCATGAATGACCTGTCACAAGCTAAGTGACAACTTCTCTACCCCACCTTCTTAGTGGTACATAGCACAATGGTGTATTTTACAATATATGGCTTCTTAGATTAAATATGCTGCTCTGTAGTTCAGTACACAATGATTCATATAAAAATAAACCTAACATTTAAACTCTGGTAATTTTCTCAATTGAAAAATGCTGGCAAAATTAGACATTTTAAAATTTAGCATGAGCATCACAGCCTCATGAATTAGAAGAAAGGTAATATAAAATGAGTTTACACTCTAGATTCAGTTCCATTGCACAGCCGTAAGGACATTGATTTCACACTTCTGGGCCTCATTTCTTCATCTGTAAAATGAGAAAGTGCAATCGAATGGCTTCTAGGCCTTCCAGCCAAAGAGGAAGATAATTTACAGTCTTGCACTATGAAGAGTGTGTGTGTCACTGTGGAAATTCCATCACCATGCTGTTCAAAGCCAAAGGAAATTATTCTACAGGCGATGACTCAACAACTTTCCTGCCACTTTTCCCTTTCCCGCAAAGAAGGCCATCCAGAGATGGCCCTATTTCCCAAGTAGGAAACACAGTTCCTTCACAACCTTAGTAACTGACCGGGAAAAAATAATTCTTTGATCTGGACTAATTTGTAAACATCATCAAAATAACTGCAGAACTCTACTAGCTTAAGTTGAACTAAGTGTCTACTCTAAATTTAGAATATCAAAAAATTACAGCATGGGTTCACTTCAAATTCTTCTTGATTGACAGAATTTGGCTACAGATTCTGCTGCTCTTGGTACTCGTTTCATGCCATAGAAACTAGCTGGGAAAACCTTTTTTTCTGAAAGAAAATAAGATGAAATGTTATTTGAATAAACTACTCATAGCATCACTGAATTCTACCTGGAGAGGATATTCAACAAACACAAATGTGTTTAGCCAATGAAAACAAAAGCTGAGGATACTCCAAGGAATGAAAAATGGAATATGTTAATAATGGAAGTACTTTATGATAAATAATTTATGTATTTATATATTTTGAGTATTTTTAAATTCAAAAATTATAATCTTTTTCTAAACACATTAGAATTTAGAACAGGAATAGCAGCTAAAATCAACAACTGTAGAACAAATCACAAATTTCTAAATTTTCTTGTTTAAATTTCAACTCCAAAGTTTCATTCAAACTATTTTAAATATAATAAGTTGCTGTTAACTAAACTAAGCCTACTTCTTTTTGTTTTCTAAACCTCAGTCAACATGTGCTGAGTTCCTATTGATTGAGCTGGCACAGATATTAAAATTATACAACTTGAGAAAGAATTCAAGTAACCATCAGCATTATGAGTTATGATTTTAAAAAAAATATGATAAGTGCTCCTGCTGAGTGCTATCCAATGAAAAGGCAGGTTCATAAAAACATTACAGTGTATAGAGTCATCTGAATTATTCAACAGATCTGAAACTTCTGGCTCTTCCCAAAATCAAAAAGACCATGAAAAGTAAATGCTTTGTATGGATTCAAGACTGTGAGGCAGTCAGGAAAGCACAACTAAAGACACAAAAAAGAACTTCCCAAGCAGGGTGTGGTAGGACATGACTATAAGCCCAGCATTCAGGAGACTGAAGTAGGAGGATCATCATGAATTCAGTTCAAAGCCAGGCTGGGCTGGGCTACATAGTGAGCTCTATGTAGCCTGAACTACATAGAATGAATCTGCTTTAAAAAAAAAAAAGAAAGAAAGAAAGACAAAGAATTGAAGGAGGGCAGGAAAGAGAAAGAAAAAAAGAAAGACTTCCAGAACTGCTTCATAAAGTGGCAAAAATGATGGGATGTGTTTGAAGCAAGGCGTGTGTCTTCTACTGTGATTAATTTGCTTCATTTAAACATTCACTGTATTTTTTCTATCACATCATGTATGCTTTACACAAACAGATGAAAGCAAGAAAAGAAAGAGCTGAAGAAATAAGAAGAAAAAGAAACTCTTGGCCCTCCCAATTCCCTACCCCATAAGCCATCATCTGCAGTGTTCCAGAGAGGGCGGTTCACTCTGAATCTGCAGTCACTGAACCATTTAAGGCATGTGATCTGCCTTTAATCAGGGCTTTGCGCCTCTCTGTGAGGAAGAGGTAGGCTTATGAAATGAAGAAGAAATGAGGAGTGATTGTAAAAACTACAATTCATTTGTAGGTCAGAAACTGTCTAGTTAGGGAATGAACTAGTTTATATCAATTTCCATTATCTCTACAACAAATTTACTTAAATAATAAATATTTCCTAAACAATTTAAAAACATGTTGAAATATAAATAGAGACTAGCTAAGTATTTCTACCTGATTAAGACCGTTATTTTCCTGTTCTATGGAACTTATTAATTACATGCATGAAATAGGTGTTTTGTTTTGTTTTGTTTTGCAGTGCTGGAGGTTGAATTTAGAGCTTTTGTACTAAGTTACATCTTCAACCTCTTCTTTTTTTTTTTAACACAGTCTTGTAAAATTGCCTAGGCTGGGTTCAAATGTGTGATCCTCCTACCTTTGTCTCCCACAATCCTTAGATTACAGGCATGTGCCACCCTCCCCCCAGCAGGCTCTTTCAGAGGACATTCCATGGGTTAATTTCCAAGTAGTTTTCAGTGGACAAACACTGTAGGAAATCACATGGGTTAAACCTGTTTTGTTTCATAACTGATAGTAAATGTTGCCAATACCAAACCAGAAAGAGTGAAAAAGAAGCTGTTCAGTTCTCTTATGACTTCCTGTATCTAGCCCACCCACTTCTGGTCACTTCCAGGAACATACAGATCAGGCAAATGGAAATGGACCCAGTCTTCAAAACAGCTTTTAGTCAAAGAAGTAGTTCCTTCTTATTGTGGGAAAATTAAAAAACAAAAATAAATGTTACTTTTTAAGAACACATTGTTTTAGATCCTTTTCTTTGCTCACATACACCTCTATAGTTTTACCCCAGGATACATCTGTCTGAGATTCTTTTTTTTTTTTAAGTATCTTATACTTTATAAGGAGTTTCATTTAGTATTGCTATTTTGGCTTCTGACACATTATTTCACATTTGTTAAGACAGATGTTGACTTGGGGCGTGTTCCAAGCATCTAAGGGCCAAGAGAACCAGCTGCTATGTGTGTCATCTTTGCAGCTGTGGTTGGTTCAGTAGTGTTTAGTTCTCTTCAGAGAATCCTTGTGGTTTGCTAGTTCGGAGTAGTAATAATTCGGTGCAGACTGATCCCTGTGGTGCTGTGCTATGTTTGGTGAGTGTTACATCTACACTGTTTTCACAACTCCTTTTTACTTAACTTCCCCCTTGTAGGAGAAAGTGGGAGTACTCAAAAGAATAAATAACTTCAACAATGCGGGGTGGGATTTTGTGCATTTTGCTTGTGAGCATGCCTAAATGTAAATTCTTAATAGCTGCAAAAGGCTTAACAGAGTTAAGAGCAGAGTTAATGAAAGGGAAATGCCCAAAAACAAGTAGAGTGGGTTCCAGTCAGCATCCAGATAGGCCAGCCTGAAAGGACACCACACCCACCAGTGTGCTGGCCTGATGTGAGGCCTGGTTTCCTTGTGGTGGTGACCTAAGCAAGCTTCAAAGCCTTCAGAAACACAATTGCCAGTCCAAGTTCAACTTGATTGTGTAAAGATTAAAGGTTCTTACTCTGGTATTACTGATACAGCAAACTGTAGTCAGAAACCAAAGAATAATCAGGGTCATCTGCAAAAAACAAAACATAGAACAAGTCTAGACTATTTTTTCATAATAAGATCTTAGCTCTTCTCAAGCCAAGGCATTGCACTTAAGTATTGGGTGACTGCTCTTTCAAAAGGAGAAAATATATCTGACAACAAAACCTATAATTGGTAGTCATGACTAAAAACCAAAGAACATTTTGGAGTTTTTTGGGGGTGGAGGGATTGTTTTTCGGTTTTTTTTTTTTTTTTTTTTTAAACAGTCTCACTATACAATGCAGCCTGGCCTTGAACTCACTATGTAGCCCAGGCTGGCCTCAAACTCACAGTGACCCTCCTGCTTCAGCCTCCCAAATGCTGGAATTACAGGCCTGGTTCCAAAGAACACTCTGGAAGTTACTATTATGACTTTGCCATTTTTCATCCATGCCCAGATATTAACATCCACACTAAAATTTTCTTCAAAACTGGATAAAAATGAAGTCTCACATTACTAAGTGGTAATAAGGTAGCAAGAAATAAAATAAATTATCATATTATTCAAAGGTCACATTTCAGCCACTAAATTTTCTATTGGTCATTAAATTTTTACTGAACTGCCAAATGTAGCATAAGATATCCTCTTCTCTCATTCCCTTGAAGGCAGATAGGTGAAACTTTTTTTTCTTCTAAGAGTAAATATTTTTTGAGACCTAATATGGCTAGTACTATGTTAGGTATTGAGAGTGATACAAGAAAATACCAAGATCCTCAAGGATCTTGTAAATTATCCAAGAAGCATAAGTAACAACAGATGCTAAGATACATTTCTATCAGAGGTACCACAGGAGTTGGAGATGGGGGGAGGAGCAGACTGACTTAAAATAATTTTTGTTAAGAAAGTCCTATAATAAACTTTTTTTGATATTTTAGCTGCTGAATTCTGTTGGATGAGCTGTAAGATAGACCAGTTATTAAATTTCACTCTGACAAACCATATATAGTAAAATTCTAATACAGGTTTATTCTCTTGGGAGTTGATTCAATTTAATCTTTTCATTCCCCTTATTTCAATTTTAAAGAAAGTCTGACATAGTGATTTCAAAAGGCTCTTCTTGATGGCATACCTGGTAAATTTTTAGGAACCGGGAGAGGTCCTCTTCTATAAGAAATAAAAAACAAAGTATTCAGATAAACTCTTGTTATTTTTATAATTTTCTACCTCATGCTACAAGCATATCATACTCTAATGACCTACTTTAAACAGCTTAGGGTTTCTGCATTGGAGCATCAAGAAAGCTCAGAAGCAAGTGACCTGTAGCCTTGACCTACTGAAACCCCAGGTGCACAGATAAATGATGCTATGGCCCACTATGAATAGTGATCAGTGGCACAGAGCTCCACCTCTGCTGCTCCATCCAGGCTGGAAAAGTCATCAGCTTAGTCTTTCAGCTAAGTTTCTCTTCCCTCAGGTTCTTTATAGTAAGGACAGCGAACTTTCCCTGTAAAGGGCCCAAGAGTAAATGATTTAGGCTACACCATCTCTACTGCAACACTACTCAGCTCTCAAGGGATGTCTCAACCACAGACAAAACACAACCCACTAAAGGTATTGCCTTCTCAAACTCTATAATAAACACTGAACTCATGAATTTTCTCATGTTATTAAATAGCATCCTTTTGATTTTTTTCAGTCATTTAAAAATATAAAAACTCACCAGGCGTGGTGATACATGCCTGTAATCCCAGCACCCAGGAGCTGAGGCAGGAGGATTACTGCAAGTTCAAGGCTAGTTTGGGCTACAAGTGAATTCAAGACCAGCTTGAACTACACAGTGGGACCCTGTCTCAAAATGACAAAAAAAAAAAAGTAGGGAAGGCACTGGGGATGCAGCTCAGCAGCACAGTGCCTGCCTCGCAAGCATGAAGCCCTGAGTTCAACTCCCAGTACAAAAACAAGCAAACAAACAAATAAATAAAATATAAAAACTCTTCTTAATTAGGCCCTACAAAGACTAGAAATCAGATTAGTTTGCTGACTCTTGATTTCTACAGGCTATAAGAAAGATGTAAGATTCATAAGCAAGGAATATCAATCATTCAAGCATGACATAGTCCTCCTTGAACTTTGACTGATAAAATTCTTTTGTGATATGTCCAAAAAGCTAGTAATGTTGCTAAGTAAAGGTAGTGTTGTATATATTCAAACTCTAATGTCTTACATGTGATAATTAACTAATTTTTATTTGTCAATTTAAAATAAAGTTTAAAAATATATCTTAGAACATTTTTTCTTTGTCTTACTCTCTTTTTCTTTCTATCCCCCAGCACTGGGAATTAAACCTGGGGTCTTCACACTAAGCTACATCCCAGCCCTTTTTACTTAAATATTTTTAATTTTGAAACAGGGCCTCACTAAGTCAGTAAGTTGCCCAAATTTGACTCAAACTTGCAGTGCTCCTGCCTCAGCCTCCCAGAGTGCTGAGATCACAGGCATGCACCACCATACCTGGCTATCTTAAAACATTAATAATAAAATAGCTTGATGAGTGCAAGCTCCAGTACCAAAATAAATAATGATAATAAAATAAATAAATAAAATAGTTTGTTAAAAGTATTTTTTCATGTGAAAGGCAGTTGGCTATTACCTTGCCAAATTAGTTCCTGTAGCCTTTCCTGGTGCAGCTGCATTCCGGTTGGGGCAGTAGAAATTCTCATACAGAATGGGTGCTAAGAGAAACATTAAGAAACAAAACAGGAAGAAGAACATGCTATCATTTGGGTCTAGAACATCCCCCAAATGTCCATGTGTGGGAGGCCTGGTTTCCAGCGTGGCGCTATTGAGAGGTGGCAGGACCTTCTCGAGGCAGGCCCTAGTGAGAGGTCTTTGGGTCTGTGGGCCTGGTCTCACAGGGAACTGTGAGAGTCTGGTCTTTTCCTTCTTTGCTGTTTCACACGCTGGCTATGAGATCAATGATTTGCTCTGCTACACCCTGACCACCATGATAGGCTCCCTCATCCCTCAGCACAGGCCCAAAGGAAAGAGGTCAATCCACCATGGGCTGAAACCTCAAAACTATAAGCCAAAACAAACTTTTTCTCTTGCAAGAATTTATCTGAGGAGGGGCCAGAGGTTTAGCTCAGTGGCATAAGCACCTGCCTGGCAAGTGCTAGGTCGTGAGTTCAATTCCCAGTACCGAAAAAAAAAAAAAAACAAAAAGAATTTATCTGAGGTATTTGTTACAATAACAGAAAACTAACAAGCGTCTTATATTTTCAATAAAAGTGGGAAGAAAGACAAATAGAACTATACAACCTCTTACATTGCCCTGCCCACCCCACCAGCCCATTCACCTGGTGGAATCTGGCCAGTTTTGCGTTGATTCACAAAGTACTCAATGTCCTTCTCAATGCTGCACACTTCTAAACTCTTACGGACTTGTTCATACATCTAACATAAAGAAGATAAATAACTAAGCAAAGGTAGGTCAGTGATAATTGTGACATGGTTCTTTAGAAAAGAAGATGTTGATGAGTGACTCTTTTCTGAACTTTGTTGTTTAAAAAAAACAAGATACAAGATCAACATCACACACAACTGCAAAGACAATTATTTAACTTGGAAAAAAACACATTCTTCCACTCAGTTCTATGGGGGTTCTGGGTATTTAATCATTCTTCTAAATGAAATGTTCCATCTAGGTGAAGGTGGCTTTTTCTTAGCAATGAAGGCTGTGATGACATAAGATCTCGGGACCCAGTTACTATGGCTTTGTCTAATCCTGGGTAATGGCCCTGGGAATGCTGTGGGAGGCAGGCTTCAACCCTGCAGAGACCATTAACCTGGACATAGGTCAGTGTGCTGGTACTTGGTGCTGGCCTGGGTGATCCTATCCCAGCCTAGAACTGGAACTCACATTCATATTGTAACATGTCTCTCTTCCACACATTAATTTGCGTTCAGGTTCCATTCTCTGCTCTCTTGCCTTAACTTTTTGTTCATTAGAAAGTCATGGCAGTAAAATAGACCAAAAGTCAGGAAGATTACATATGTATTTGAGTCCTTATATCAAATCACCGTGTAGCCTTGAATAAGTCATTTTACCTCTCTGGACCACCAATGGAAGCAGTGGAGTAGGGTGAACTAGTTGATGTCCACAGCTCTTTCCACTCAATGAGTCAAAAATATGCAGGGCCACAATCCTTTATGGATGCCTCTGACTTACCTCATCACTCACAACGCACTGTTGTGACAGCTGATTCAAATGTAACCACAGTGCATTCCGTAAGAAGTTTATTCGTTCACATTCTTGAATTTCAAACACCTACAGAAAAAAGAGCTATAGGTATCTACCTATGCAGAGAAAGGGGCCATTTACTTAGATTGCTGCCACTTAAAGAGTGTCAACCCTCAATTATCTGTAAAGCTTACTGTTCAATTTATAGGACACTTACCACTATCACTATTGAGAAAGTTTATAAACCCTTGCCACAGACAAATAAGACAAATGGATTATTCTGGTTTGTGTCTAGATGTCCCCCAGAGCTTCATGCACTCATAAGAGGGCTTTTTGGAAGAAGATTTCATTACAGGGGCAATACAAATGACTTGCTGTTAGGAGGCTGGATCTAGTCAGAAGAGGTGAGTTACTGGTGGAATGACCTGGGTATATCTCCCTTCCTGGTTCCTCCACTTTCTGCTTCCTGCCCACCCTGAGAGAAGCAGGCTTCCTCTTCGAGGCCTTCCATCAGGTCTTCCTGCCTTGAATCTAGCTGACCATGGACTTACTGTGAGGCAAAATAAATTTCTCCTCCTGTAAGTTGTGGGTGTTGTGTAGTTTGTCCCAGCAATAAAGAAAGTGACTAAAACATGGATTCTAAAATCATACTAGTACAAACAGGGTTAGCTAGAGTCCTAAGGTAAGAAGTAATGACGACCTCCAGATGCCAACATTCTAACCAGCGACATTTCTAACTGCCTGGGCATCTCCACCTAGGGAGGTGTGTCAGAGCTCCAGAATCAAAACACTGCTCCTCCCACTCTGGGATGAACTAAGCTGGTTAATTTGTCAAAGCTGCTTAATGAAAATGACATGGGAGCCCTCGCATTTGTCTTTCATCTTTGTACATGTTTAAACTTTTCCTTAAAAAAATTCAAGGTAGAAAGGGGAAAGGAAAAAGAAAATAGGAAAAAATGGAAATGAAACTTTTGTCAACAAGGAGGGAAGGGAAATGGAGGAAAACAGATTGGATACATTAAGTACAGGAGCAAATTCCCTGTGATAAATATGATCATTGTATGGATCAAAAGTATACCAACAAAATTAATTTTAACCTTTTTTTGAGACAGGTTGTGTTTTATAGTCCAGGCATGACTTGGACTCACTAATGGCCTTAAACTCAGAGATCCTCCTGCCTCAGCCTCTCAGTGGCTAGGATTATAGGCATGCACCACCACAGCTGGCAAATTAATTTTTAAAAAAGTCGGGGCTGGGGATTTAGCTCAGTGGCATAAGCACCTGCCTTGCAAGCAGGTAGTCGGAGTTCGATCCCTGGTGCTGATAAAAAGGAAAAAGACCAAAAAAAAAAAAAAAAAAAAAGTCAAGAGTTCCTGCCTGAACAATAATTTTGGATATTAACAAATATCCATTTTTAAAAAATCAAGATACTTAACAAAGTGAATGATACTCTATTTAACAGTGGATCTTACATACTTATAAATATTGAATATCATAGGTATTCCATTTTTATATGTTTATAGTATGAAACTTAAAACATATACAAGAGAAGAGCATAATCAATCCTTATGTATCCATTACCACACATTTATAAATTCACAACCCATTCTGTTTTACAGGTAACCCTACCAACTATTCCCTGAATATTTTGAAGCAACTGCATTATTTCACTTGTAATTACTTTAGTACTTCTGTTTTAAAATATGATGTTATTTTTATCATAGACTATTTCACACAGAATCATACAGAGGAACATAGTGAATAAATACCCACATACAAAACCACCTAGCTCAAAATTTTAGCCATATTTGCATCTGATTTTGTTAAGGTCTCTATGTGACTTCCCCAACCTTCCTTCTTTTAAAAAGATAACCTAAATACTATCATTGCCATGCAGGTGTTAAGAGTATATTTGCACCCATGAAATGTGTGTGATATTACTTTGCATCTTTTAAAATCTTCTACAAATGGCCTCCGTCTAGCCTTTTCACGAGCATGTAAAAAATAAAAAATAAAACAGAAGAGAGTGTTTTACTGGGGCATTGTGATATGATAGTCATAGATCAAATAACAGAAGATTAGACTGAGGTGTAGCTCAGTGATAAAGTCTCTGCCTAGTAAGTGCAAGGTACTGGGTTCTATTTCTAGGATTCAAAAAAAAAAAAAAAAGTAACAACAAAACCACAAGTCCCACCATATCTCCTATCAAGGGAATTTCTGGTGTCCTTTAAAAGTTAATACCTCTAGTAATAACCATCAATGTGAATATTCTCAATTCCCTAACCAAAAGACACAGGCAGAATGAATCAAGAAACAAAACCCAATGATACAAAATACACAAAAAACACATTTAAATCATGTATGCAATCCCAGCACTTGGGAAGCTGAACCAGGAGAATCACCATGAGTTTGAGCATTTGGATTATATAGTGAGTTCAAGGCCAGCCTGAACTACATAACAAGACCTTGTACAAAAAAACCAAAACAAATGAACAAAAAACACATTCAATTCAAAAAGAAACTAACAAATTAAAAAATCAAAAGATGACACAATATTCCATACAATGGGAACATAGGAAAAAGCAGGAATAGCTAAATTAATTTCAGACAAAGTGGTTTCAAACTAAAACTGATCAGAAGGTCACTACATGTTGGTTAAGGGAACAATTCAACAGGAAGAGATAACAAGCATACATACACCAAATACTGGCACTCTCAGCTTGGTAAAATAAATGCTAGTGGACATTAAAAATCAGATGAACACCAATACAAATGTATTGGGGGACCTCAATACCCCACTGTCACAAAAAGACAAATCAACTAGACAAAAAAAAAAAAAAAAAACAACCAAAGAAATATCAGAGTTCAACCAAACCTTCCAACAAATGGACTTAATAAATACCTACAGACAACAGCAGCAGAGGAAGAGACAAAAACAACACAATACACATTCTTTTTAGCAACATATGGGTCTTTGTTCAAAATAGACTACATGTTCTTCCTGTTCTCCATCATGGCACAAGATCAAGGTGAAAAGGAGAACGCCAAACAGAAACTTTGCATCCACAAGTTCTTAACATTTGTGTGAGGCAGAATGGATTCAGACTGACCAGGGCAGCCAAGGTGTTGGAGCAGCTTACAGGCCAGACTTCCATATTTTCTAAAGCCAGATACTGTCAGATCATCTGGCATGAGGAAAAAAGAAAATATTGCTTTTCACTGCAGGGAGCCAAGACAAAGAAATCCAACAGAAAGGTCTAAAGATGTAAGAGTAGAAATGAAGGAAAAATAATTTCTTTGATACTGGAAACTTTGGTTTTGGAATCTGGGGACACACTATGTCCCAAGCATTGATATCTATGGCTCAAGCTTCCTTGTGGTTCTGGGTAGGCTATGTTTCAGCATCACAGACAAGAAGGGTGGGGCTGGCTGCATCTGGGCCAAACACAGAATCAGCAAATCAGCATGGATTCTGAAGAAATATGATGGGATCATCCTTCTTGGAAAATAAATTCACATTTCTTTTAAATTCACATTTCTTTCCAAATAGCTAATAAAATGCTTCCCACGAAATGCAAAAAAAAAAAAAAAAAAAAATATATATATATATATATATATCATACTAGCCCATAAAGCACACAGAAGTAAATGCAAAAGAATAAAGTTTATTCAAATCATGGTGCAATGAAACTAGAAATCAGTGGCAAAAGATACTACAGAAATTATGTAAATACATGGAAATCAAATAATACCTTCTTGAATAATCAATGGGTCACAGAGGACATTAAAGAAGAAATCAGACAATTCCCACCATTAATAATTTCAATACAACATATTGGAACCGATGGGACACAGTGAAAGCAGTCTTATCAGGGAAGCTTAAAACAGAGAATTCCCACATCAGAAAAACAAAGCAACAGAGGAAGAGAACAAGTCACCAAGAACCGAGCTCTCCCTGTGGATCAGAGCCATATGCAGGCCACTGGGGGGCAGCCAGACCCCAGTCTTTTCCCATGAGCCAGCCCCACTGGTGGACTGTAGGGAAAGAGAACAAGAAGTCACCAAAAGCAAGCTCTCCCTGTAAATCAGCCCTGCTGTGGCTTCCCAGGGGACAGACAGCCAGACCCCAGCCTTTCCTGCCACATGGGCTGGAAAACAAGAAGAGCCAACCCCTCCCCATAGGCCACCAGCTGATCTAGAGAAACGTAGGTTGTAGTTGTAATAATAGCTACTGAGGTAAAATGCAATTTGATGCTTGTATTTTAGTGTTTCACTGACTTTGCAGGCCTAGGGCCAGTGGTTTGATCATCTATTCAGAGTACGGCAATATGCAGTGTGGCATCTATGGGGGGTCACCTTCTGAAGGTGGTAACCATTGTTAATTCCTTATTATCTTGTTTTGAAGTCTTGTATCATTTTCATTTTTTTGTTGGATTGGGTTCATTCTGTCTTGTTTGATTTTGCTATATTCTGTGACATGCAAAGCTATTTCAAAGATAGAAAGATATTTATAGTAGACATTTTGCATTTACTATTGTCTTGTTTTGAAGTCCTTCACTGCATTCATTGTTTTGTTTTTATGGTTCTATTCTATTCGTTTTGTTTGATTGTTACTACATCTGAAGGTATCTGCAGCTATTTGGAAGACAACAAGAAACATGGTAACCATTGTTGATTTCATATTGTTTTAAAGTCCTGTGTCACTTACACGGCTTTGTTTTAATTGGCTTTATTCTGTTTTATTTTGCTTGGCTTTATTCTCTTTTTTTTAAAAAGTCACTATAAAAATAAAGCATCCTTTGTGGGATAGCCTGTGCTTACCAAGTACTTCCTGTGCCTCTCTAAACTTCTCAGCATCCTCTGCATTTCAGTAAGGGTTAGCCTTCCGGTAAAGAAGCTTACAATTCTCCTATATACTATACACATATGGAAATATGAGTTCACAATTTTTCATAAGAACAAGAACATAAGATATTCATGTAATAAGATCCATGAAATAATTCTTTTCATGCAATATGTTGGAAACATTTCTCTATGTCAAGCATGATTCCTGTAAATCAAAACTTTTAATGGTTATGAAATGCATATATGTATTAAATAGGTACATTTGCCATAATTTTCTCAATACCATAGCAGGATATGAAGTTAGCACTCAAAGATCAATAGCTTCCTGTACAACAACAAACTTACCAAAAGAGAAATTAGGGGGAAAATAATTTTTGCAATAGCATTAGAAAAAAATGAAATACTTAGGAGTTAACCTGTTATGGCCTATACATAGATATTCCCTCACAACCTCACAGCTCATAGAATGTGCTTTGCAGAGGCAGCTGGATCTAGGGTGTATGAAAATGGATTAAACTGTGTGAATATGGAGTGAGGGTGTGATAGCTAAATTAACCACTGATTGATTTAGTATAGCTCTGAATGTGGATAATGGTAAGATCCTGGGAGTGGGTGGCTTGTAGTCTGGATGGGATGAGAGGGAAAGGGAGGTTTGCAGTTTGCTGCCTCGTGCCTGCTTTGCTATGGACTGTTTCTCCTTGGTCACGCCTGCTTTGGAGCCAACCAACTATGGACTGAAACCTCTACAAACTGTGAGCCAAAATAAACTTTTCCTCCTTTAAGTTGCAGGTACTAGGTAGTAACTAAGACACTAACCAAGGAAGTGAAAGACCTCTACAATGAAAACTATAGAACCCTGAAATAGCATATAGAAAAGACCAGCAGAAAATTGAAAGATATCCCCTACTCCTAGACAAGCAGAATCAATTCAGTTAAAATGGCCATACTTCCAAAACTGTTATACAGATTTACTGCAATCCCAATAAAAATACTACTAGCATTCCTCACACAACTGGAGAAAGCAATCTTACAGTTTATATGAAAACAGAAGAGACCTAGAAGAGCAAAAGCAATTCTTAGCAACAAGGGAGCAAAGTAGGAGACACCAAAATTCCAGATTTCAAGTTATACTACAAAGCTATTGTGATAAAAAAATGGTATGTTATTGGGGGAGAAACCCATTTGTAGATCAACAGAAGAGAATAGAAGATGCACAAACAACTTTGGGCACTTAGCTACCTTATCTTTGACAAAGGGGTTACATATTTTCACTAGAGGAAAGATAGCATCTTTAAGAAATAGTGCTAGGAAAACTAGCTATCCACATGCCAAAGACTAAACCTAGACCCACATCTCTCACCATGCACTAAACAAAAAAATCAAAATGGACCAAAGATTAAAATATTAAAACAGAAACCTTAATATCCTGGAAGATAAAATAAGTAAAGCTCTTGAAGACATGTGTAGAAAAAGACTTTCTGAACCCCAGTTTTATAAGAAATAACATCAATGATCAACAAATCAGAGGACACTAAAACAAAAAACAATAAAGCTTCAATACAGCAAAGGAAACCATCACCAGAATGAAGAGACAATTCACAGAGTGAGAAAAAATTTTTTTCAGCTATTCCTCAAAGGACTAGCATATTATATAAACTCAAAAAATTAGGTTCCCCCTACCAAAGATCCAATCACAAAGGGCATCTGAAATGAACAGACACTTCTCAAGTGAAGAAGTACAAATAAATATACGAAAAAATGTTCAACATTTCTAACTACTCAAAAAATGCAAATTTAAAAACAATTATTTAAAAACAAAACAACACTGAGATCCTATCTTACTCTAGAAAGAAGGGATATCATCAAGAAATTAAACAATAACAAATACTGGGGAGACTAGGGGAAAAGGAATCCCTCTAGTATTGGGGGACTGGTAAAATCATTATGGAAATCAGTATGGTGATTCCTCTAAAAAACTAAAACTAGAAAAAAACTACTAAAACTAGAAATTTCATTTTATTCAGTTATTCCCCTTTTAGGTATCTTCTCAAAAGAGTTAGACATCATACCATGGTGATGTATGAATGCCCATGTTTATAGCAGCACAATTCTGTTAAATCTTGGAAACAGCCTACATGTCCAGCAACAGGTGAATGGATAAAGAAAAGATAGTATTCATACCCAATAGAGGACTACTCTGCCATAAAGAAGTATAAATCTGAGTAATTTGTAGGAAAATGGATGCATCTTGAGATCATAATGTTAAGTGAAGTAAATCAGTTACACAACCATAAATACTGCATTGTTTCTCTTGTAGGAGAAATTCAACCCATAAATAAAGTACAAAATATAAAACAGACAATGGGAAAAAGGAGAGAGAAAAAGTTATTGTGATCCAGCATGGATAATGTATCTAAAAGTGTGCTTGATTTAGTACAATTGTCTTGTGTCTTTTATATTGTTTTTTGGCATTAATCTGGCTATTAATCTACATATATGATAATTACCTTTATAAGGACTTATACAATAAATAAATTAATCTGATGCTAGTAAAAAACAGAGTGGAGGGTGAAGGGAAAAAGAACTCAGGTGTGTTATGTTCAATTCTCCACAATTAATGCAATCACTATGTACTGAAAACATGTACTAATAAGAACTAAAAATTAAAATAAATAAATAAAGAGGATAGTAGCTGCAGGAAAGGAAACCTAAAATTATGTCAAATCAGCCCAACAAGGACTTGGAGATGACTTCTTTAAAAAGCATGACGGGAGTTTTGGGGTGTGACAATGGTAAAGCAATGGTAAAGACCATGGGTTCTATATTCAGCACCAAAAAAAAGGTATGGTTGTGAAGAGAAGAGAGCGTAGCAGACGGGAAGTGACAGCTAGTGAGTTTTCAAGCTAAATCTAGGAATGAGCTGAGTTTGTTGTGCACAAGATAACAGCAGCCCCTGCTAAAGGGAGCTGTGCCCAACAGGAAAGGGACGAGGAAAGGTCAACTGGATGCAATTGTTTTCTTAAGGTACTGGAGGTTGAAAGCAGAACCATATATATGCTAGGCAAGTACTCTATGCTGAGCTACATCCACAGCTCTTTGTACTTTATTTTGAAACAGGGTCTTGCTAAATTGTAAACTTGCAATCTTCTTCCCTCAGCTTCCCAAATAGCTGGGATTAAAATCGGACATGTATCATCATACACAGCTGTGATATACTCTCGATAAGAAAGGGAGCAGGTAACTTTTCTACTCTAGCAGGAGAAGGGGGATGATGAATCAGTGCTTTGCACACTTGAATTCAGAGGCCCCTGGGTCCTACTTTCAGAGTTTCTAATTTTGCAGGTCTGAGGCTGGTCTGAGAACTGCCTACCAAGTTCCTCAGTGATGTTGTCAGTCCTGGGTCCTCACTTGGAGAACCAATGATAAGAAAATATGTAGAGAAGGTGGTAGAAATTCAAGGAAGTTTCCAGATTCTGTCTTTTAGATTTTCTCCAGAAAAGCATGAGGTCATATGTTGAAAATGAAAGAGGGTAGCGGTAAAATGAAAAATACGAAGAGTAAAAAACACTCCAAAGCCTGCTCACCAGCCAGATGCAGGATCTATCAAGTACAGACCAGGCTCCCAAAGGTAATTACTGTACTAACCAACCATTAACTGAATCTGCTGGTGCATGTCTGCACCTAACTGAACATTAGCCTAAAGCTTCACCCAGAGATGGCAAGTGAGGTCAGGATATAAAGAGGAGTTTGAAAGAAACAACTCCAATTCCTTCCATTCTTCCTTAAATTCCTGATTTCTAGCTTTCACTCATGCATTCTGACCAGATGGGAATGGAGCGCTGTAACATAAGGGCCGGGTGCTCTACAGAAGTTGGCTCTCCAGGGTCTCAGGCAGAAGACCTGCCTGCCCTCGTGAGCAGCCTCTGGTTCCAGGTACCTCACAGGCCTTCACGTGCTCGCTCTGCCACTCTTCTCGGATCTTGTCCAGTGCATTGACGTGCTGCAAATACACTTTGTCTGCAATGCAAGGGAAGAACCTTGATTCAGAGTCTAGATGGCAGGCTCGTCAGAGATGTGGTGAGTTCACAAGGCCTTAAACAGCCACAAGGTGGGTGTCACTTTCCTTCAAACAATGAACCAAGCTCTAAGCCAGAAGTGCCTCAAGGAAGAAGTGAAAGCTGAGAAGAACCTCAGCCAAGGTTTTCTGCCTCAGTAACTTCCACCTCTTTTCATTTTCTGGAAAATTTTCCAACGAGGGATCCAAAGAGAACTGTCTTGAGTGCTAAAGCAGCACCAAGATAATTTGTTTTTCAGCAAATAATTTTTTATTTATAAACTATTTTCTATTTTATTTTATTTTATTTTATTTTACTTTTAGACACAGGGTCTCACTATGTAGTTCAGGTTGGCCTTGAACTCACTGTGTAGCCCAGGCTGGCCTCAAACTTGTAGCAATCGTCCTACCTCCTACCTCAGCCTCCTGAGTGCTGGGATTACAGGCATGTGCCACCATGCGCGGGTTTTTCCTTTGAATTTGTACAATCCAAAATACATTGTTTTTTTATTTAGAGCAACGGCCTTCACAAGAGGCTTGTTTTTGGGAATTAGGAAGCTTTACATCTTCTGGTTTGGGTTTTGAATTTCAGGGATAACAAGGCTTTGCACCTCTGCTGTTTCTTTCACAGTAGATGAGGGCTGCCAGTGCTGAAACAGTCTTTTAGATAGGTATCCACAAAAAAATCAGATCAATTCCAAAACAGCCCCATAGAGCTCCACCTTACGAATCCTTATGCTCAAGGCAGCAACCAGAACCTGCCACCTCTGGAGCTTTTTCCTACTTCCTAGGATTCTTGCATACCTGCCATTCCTCCCTTCTATCCCTTCCTTCCCTTCCTTCTTCTAATATCTTGTTAAGCCTACTATAAATACATCGGTTCTTTATTGTAAAACTACTTTCTCAGAAACACACAGGATAATGTAAACCCCACCACCACCCCTTCCCACCCAGAGGAACAGCCCCCTCACCTGAGTCCTCTACTGCGGTCTTTGAAGTTGCCAGTTTCACAAAAAGCTGTAGAGACAAAAAAGAACAGAGATCAGGCATGCTAGGCCAGGCTTCCACAGAGGAACACATGTAAAAGCAATGAGTATGGGCTGGGGATTTAGCTCAGTGGCAATAAGCACCTGCCTTGCAAGCAGGCGGTCGTGAGTTCGATCCCCGGTACCAATACAAAAAAAAAAAAAAAGAAAAAAAGCAATGAGTATGAAGAGACAAGGTCTTGTCGAAGTTGCAGCTTCTTCTCATAAGAAAATGGTGATAAACACGATGCCCTGTGTCTTACTAAACACATACTCCTACCCTCTTGTTGCTGACAATCTTATGTCATGATTTTATAAAATTAAGTTTCCGATCTGCCCAAGCAAAAGGCAACAAATGAAAGAGCTGTTTGTTTTGAAAAAGATGAAAAAAATAAATCAGGCCTCCTATGCTACCCTTTTCTCCCCATGGCCATGCTTCCTAGTACTTTCTCCAACCGCGAAAATGTAACAATGTTTGTTTGTTTTTGTTTTTGTTTTGGTCCTAGGGATCTAACTCATGACCTCACACATGCCAGGCAGGTGCTTGTGCTGCTGAGCTAAATTACCAGCCCGTAACAAGGTTTTTAAACACTGTTAGTTGGTGTTTGTTTGTTTGGTTGGTTTTTGTTTTTGTTTTTTGGTGCTGGGAAGCAAACTCAGGGCCTCATGCTTGCCAGGCAGGTGCTGTACCACTGAGCTACATACCCAGGCCTGTTAGTTGGTTTTAAACTGATACACTTAAAATCTCAATCTTTCAAATTGTCAGCCCCCCTAGGTACCTTTTCTTGTTGCTTTGTGGTTACTGCGTTGGCACTTCGGTGGACAGCTTGTTCTGCCTCATCTTTGTCCCGGCATTTCTGCTCATAAATCTTCTTTGCCTTTGTTGTTACAAAGAGAAGGCCAAGACAAGTGAGCAGGTTACAACTCTGGAAAGCAGCCGCCTTAGCCATCCAAGCCCAGCAGAAACAGGACAGTCTGGTTAGACCTTGGACTTTCAGAATGCAGAAGCTCATTCTTGCCAGTCTATGCAATGTTTCTGACTTTAGCCCTCTTCCAAATTATGGACAGAGGTGCAACTTCATGGAAGTAATAATTCCAGTTTAGTAACACAACATTACAGGAACTTTAAAAATTGACTGAATAAAAGATGAAATCTGAAATAAGCAAAATCAAAATGTGTATGGAATTCCATGATACATAATCCAACATTTATGTAGCCATCATTAATTCTCAGAATTTATATGCCATCATTGGTCATTGGTACCAACACATTCTAATTACACCTCACTACTCTAATGTTCCTGGCCATCACTATTGAGGGGGGACCAAAGACATCATTTCTTTTGCCTTAGTATAGTCAGATTCCTTTATGATTTAAAGAATGTTGACTTAAGCAGTTTAAAAGTAGGCCATCCCTACTTTGTATCAAAATAAATATTGAAAGGTCTAAGAATAAATCTCATTAGTTTGATCCCCAGTAACACACACATAAAAACAAAAAAATAGGTAATGGTCTATCCTGTGCCACCATGATTATAATTATTGAATCAAGGAAAAATTTTCTGTTTCAAATATGGAAATAAAGCCAAACTTGTGACCCAATTAGCTAATAACTAAAAATGGTGGGAAGACAGTGCTTGACTAAGAATGAAGACACTCCATTTCTAGCCCGTGTTTGGCTGGTTTCTCTGAGGCTACCTATGAACCAGAGATTAAGTGCTAAACCTAAGGGCATAGGTTCTCCCTCTGCAAAATAAGGATTTTATATATAAATGTATATAATAAATTCTATTCATAAAAATAAAAGCTGACATAAGCTTTAGTTCTATAGCTATTACACATTTATAAACAAAATTGTTTATAAATGGAATTCAACCTGAAAAACCAATAAAATTCAAATTAATAATAATTTTTAAAAATAGGGACTGTGGGAGAAGAGAACAAGAAGCTACCAAGAAGCAATCTTTCCCTGCAAATCAGCACCATGTGCAGGCCCCCCAGGGGAACAGCCAAATCCCAGCATTTTCCCATGAGTCAGTGCTGTTCACAGACTGCGATGGAAGAACAAGAAGTCACCAAAAAGCAAGCCCTCCCTGTGAATCAGCACCATGCATGGGCCGCTGCAGGGAGAGCCAGATGCCAGTCCCTTCCAGGGCATGGGCTGGGAAACAAGAAGAGCCAAACCCCTCCACCATGAGGTACCAGCTGATCTAGAGAAACACAGGCTGCAATGATAGCTATCGAGGTGAAATACAATTTAAAGCTTGTGGTGTTTGGTGTTTCACTGACTTTGCAGGTCTAGGACCAGTGGTCTGATCATCTATCCTAAGGATGACAGTGTACAGTATAGCATCTTTGGGGGATCTCCTGAGGGTGGTAGCCATTGTTAATTCCCTATCTTGTTTTGAAGTCCTGTATCATTTTCATTGTTTTGTTGGGCTGGATTTTACTATTTTGTTTTGTTTCATTTTATTATATCAGATGGCATGGGCAGGTACTTCAAAGATAGCAGAATATATTATGGTAGACATTTTGGATTTACTATTGTCTTGCTTTGAAGTCCTTTACTGCATTCATTGTTTTGTTTTTATTGGTTCTATTCTGTTCTTTTTATTTGATTGTTATTACATCTGACGGTATCTGCAGCTATTTGAAAGACAACAAGAGACATTATGGTAACCATTGTTGATTTCATATTGTTTTGAAGTCCTGTGTCACTTACACTGCTTTATTTTGACTGGCTTTATTCTGTTTTATTTTGCTTGGCTTTATTCTCTTTTTTAAAAAAAGTCACTAAAAAATAAAGCATCCTTTGTGGAATAGCTTGTGCTTACCAAGTACTTCCTGTGCCTCTCTACACTTCTCAGCATCCTCTGCATTTTAGTAAGGGTTAGCCTTCTGGTAAAGAAGCTTACAATTGTCTCTATATGCTATGCACATATAGAAATATTAGTTCACAATTTTTCATAAGAACAAGAGCATGAGATATTCATGTAATGAGATCCATGTAATAATTCTTATCATGCAATATGTTGGAAACATTTCTCTATGTCAGGCATGATCCCTGTAAATCAAAACTTTTAATGGTTGTGAAATGCATATATGTATTAAATAGGTACATTTGCCATAATTTTCTCAATCAACTCTTTACTAGCAGATATTTATTTCTCATTTTTTAGACATACTAATACACTAATTTTATTTTGACTACTATGTATGCCAATCAGGAAAAAAATCTTTTTTTTTTTTTTTTTTTTGTCTTTTTCCTTTTTATCAGTACTGGGGATCAAACTCATGACTGCCTGCTTGCAAGGCAGGCACTTATGCCGCTGAGCTAAATCCCCAGTCCCCAGGAAAAAAATCTTAAAAGTATAATCATCTGGCAAAAAAGCATTTATACATCAGACTTTATTCCAAAATGATTGCACCAATTTATATTCTGAGGTGGCCTGATAACTGGTGGTCAACTTGTAATACCAGCTGAACTGAATCAGTGTGATGCTGAGCATGGATGGCCAGTGTGTGAATTGTTGCCAATATAAAAAGGAGAACTGGAGAGAAAAAAGATGTGTTGTTGGTTCTATGTGGTGGTGTTGGTTCTCCTGTTGCCATGGGTTCTTCTGGTGGAGCTTGTCAAGTTTCTTTCCTAATATGAACTTGGCTGTTCTCATCGTCAGAGGAGCTTGGGACCTTGTTGTTATCAGGAATAACTGCAGTTCCCTTTGTGGGAGCTCTGGTCTTTACCACTTCCTGGCTCCGGTGGGGAAGATGGTGTGCTGTTCAGACTCTAGAAGAAGCTTGTCACACTGCATTCCTGATATGAGCTCAGCTGTACTCATTGTTGGAGGAGCTAAGGACCTCACTGTTGCTGAGGATGGCTGTGGTAGTTTCTGAAGGAGAAGGGAGACCTGGTCATTGTTCGGAGCATTGATTCTTGGCTCCAGTGCAGAACCCTCAGCCTGCTGGCCCAGATCCTTCATCCCACTGGCACAGATTTTCTAGCTTCCACCGCTGACCTTTGGCCACTGACCCGGCACAGATCCATTAAACAGACTTGCATGAGATATTATCGTTGGCTACAGGCCTCCAGCTGGACTTGGGGACATCGTCATGGATTCTAGATCTTCAGCTGACTTCATGCAGGATGTTGCCATGGGATCCAGGCCCTCAGCAGGATTCACTGGGTCTTAATGGACAGGTTTCCTGCATTCTTTCTTTTGTATTTGACTTCTTGGGTGACCATTATAAAATAAAACTATAAGTTATGTGTCCTATATGTAATTATTTTCCTTGCAATCTCTGACTACAATATACTCCTACCACTGTTATACGAAAGTACTTATTTCCTCATGCTCTCACCAACACTGTTAAGTCAGAATTTTTAATCTTAGATCTACCACTGAGGAGAAAATGCTAGCATATTGTCTTATTTGTATGTCTTTCATTATTATTAAAGTAGGTTCAGTGCTTGACATATAGTTCTGTGTAAATTATTACATTCCCAAAACACTTGATTTGGGTACCATAATTTCTGATATATTGTATTATATTTGATTTCATGTCTGGCTTTTCCACATATTGTAAACTTCTAAAGGTAAGAAATAAAGTGGTTTACCTTTCCTATTTCATGTCTTTTGCCTACTTTTTTATTGGAGCATTTTAAAATTTAATTGATTTTTTTAAAGAGTTCAATGTATATTAGGAACTAACCAGCTATAAGTTATATTTTCCCAACTGTTTCATCTATCACAGAAGTATACATAAGGTGATAATATTTTTCTTTTACTATAAAGGAATCTTAAGGGCTGGGTATGTAGCTTAGTAGCACAGTGCCTGCCTGGCAAGCATGTGACCTGAGTTCAATTCCCAGTACTAAAAAACAAAAAAAGAAAACAAAAAGAAATTTTAAGCCACATATAGTAGTACATACCTGTAATCCCAGCCCTCTAGGAGATGAAGGCAGGAGATTGCAAGTTCAAGCCCAGCTAGGGCAACTTAGCCACATAGCAAGAACTTTTCTCAAAATAAAAAATAAAAAAGGCCTGGGGACATAGTTCAATGTGAAGGTCCTAGGTTCAATCTCCAGTATCAAAAGAAAAAGCCTTAAATTTTTATTCACATTATTAGTTCTTTGTCTATCCATTTTTATTTTTTTAGTATGACATGTTAAGCAATTTTTCCCTGTTTCAACACAGTCCTTATATTTGTATTTTATAAGATTGCCTAGTATATTTAACCCTTCTCTAATTGTCAGTTACTAACTCATTTACGGTTTTCATTACTGAATATGTTCATGCCTTTGTTGTCATATTTTGGATAATTCCTGAAGATAGAGTCTTAGGTTCTTATCATAAAATTGATGCAGTATTCATGTTAAAGCTGCATAATTTTTAATAGGCAAATCTTGGAAGCAGTTTATTAATAGATGAATGATAATAAAAATGTATGTGTGTATATCATCCATAAATAAGGATACATTTGAGTTATTTGTAGAAAAATGGAGGCACCTTGAGACTATAATGCCGAGTGAAATAAATCAGATACACATGGTTCTTCTTATATGAGAAACCTTAAGTATAAATAATTTAAAGACCATAATAAAAGGTAGATTATAGAGCTTTCTGGTAAGCTGTGCAAGCCTTGTAGGGCCCTGGAAGAGACAAGTTAGATAGCACCTCTCGAGAATCGGCCATGTTGGGACTGGGAGGAGCACACCAAGAAGCCAACTAGCCTTCCTGGTAAGCTGCACAATCCATGTGGAGCCCAGGAAGAGAAAAGTCAGATAGCACCTCCCAGGGGCTGAAAATAACCACTCCACCCCCACCCCCATAAGCAACCAGCTGGTTCAAAGGACAGGCTAAGTTGATAGCAACTGAGGTACAAAAAGCAACTGAATGTTTGTATTCTTTGCTTTAGTATGCAGGCCAGGGACCAGCAGGCTGAGCATCTATTGGGAGGATGACAGTATGCAATGTAGCAAATATGGGGATTTCCTTCTACCTCATTTTTGAAATCCAATATTGTTTCCACTGTTTTGTTTTGTTCCCATTAATTGTTTTGCTTTATTCAGTGCTCTGTTTTGGTTGGTTTTATTCTGTTTTGTTTTGGTTTGATTTTGTTATATCTGATGGAATGGACAACTATTGTAAAGATAACAAGACATACCTATAGCAGCCATTGTTTTTCTTTTATCCTGCTTTGAAGTTTTGTACCAGTTTCACTGCTTTATTTTGATTGAATTTATTCTGTTTTGTTCAGTTGAGTTTTATTATTTTTAAAATTTGAAAAAATTAAAAAAAGATAGATGATAGGAAACACGGAGGTACAAGTTTTACATATGAGAAGGGGATTCAGAGATGGCGGAATAGTAGACGGAGAAGAGGGGAAAAGGAAATAAAAAGGACTAACATGCAGTATGTATATGAACCAAATTTCCACAGTAACTGTACTCATTCTGTATAGCAAATATGTACTAACAAAAAAGTAATTTAAATAAATAAATTTAAAAGATGATGAGGTTTATATAATACATTTACACCAAAAAGATTGCAAAATATCTGTTAGAAAACTGTCTCAGGCTTTTGGGAAGATGAAACAGCTGTACTTTTCTCCAGTCCTCCACATTAGCATAATTAAAACCGTAAACATTATGTATAAAGCAAACGTAAGATTCTGAAAAGTAAAAGAAGACTGTTTAACGAATTTGGCCTCAAAGAGTAACCCAACAGTGAGTTTCTTGAGCTTCTTTTTGCTTCGTATATCATAGACTGAATGCCACAGAAGCAGGAAACTCACGAACACCAGTAAACACAGACCAAAAGAGCCTCAACAAAGCATGTTTTCTTTAGCCAAAAGACTCGCAAAAGGGCAGCTTAACAGAACACAAAGCTTTTAGCAAATATACACAATGAATAATCATGTACTGCAAACATATACTAGTAGAAGTATTTTTTTGTCTTTTTGATACAGGGTCTCACGATGCAGTTCAGGCTGGCCTTGAGCTCACTTTGTAGCTCACGCTGGTCTTGAACTTGTAACGGTCCTCCTGCCTCAGTCTCCCAAGTGCTAAGATTACAGGTGTGCACTACCATGGCTGGCCAGAAATTTTAAAAGGAAAATAACCATTTTACTGCCACTAAACACCATATGAAAAACTCGGGCCCCATCCCCAAAAGTGAAGCAGAGAGTCTAAACTTCCATCATCACCAAGCTGCCTAGGCATCATCCCCTGCCTAGGTGGCATCTGAGATTTTCATTCCCATTAAGAGGGACCAAAGCTATCCAAGCACTTTGCCAGTGGAAACCGTGTGGGGAACCAGAATTTCCATTCACACCTTACAGTAATGAGGTACCCCTTGTCCCCCATCTTGTGGTGTCAGAGGGGTTCTAACAAAGAGTCAGAACATTAACCACCTTCCAGTACTGGCATACTTACTCTGTGGTGACACTGAATCCAAGAAGGGGACTTGGACTTTTACCCCCCTGTGATAACGAGGTCTCACTTCCCTGCTGCTGGGATGGTATGAGAGAAGGCAGCTAAACCAAAAGATTAAATAAGCTCCAAAGTCTTGTAACATCCCCAAAGTTCCAAAATCAATCAAATATCACTAACACCAAGAACCAGAAAGATATCAAACTGAATGAAAAAAGCGAAAGGTAACAGATGACACCATCAAGAAGGGAGAAAGATGTTAAAATTATATCACGAAAACTTTAGAGCAGTTATTATAAAAGTATTCAGCAAAAAAAAAAAAAGTATTCAGCAAGCATTTCCATACTTAAATGAAAAAATACATAGTATTTGCAAAGAAATAGAAAAGCTCAGCAAAGAAATAGATAATAGAATAAAGCAGAAATTTTAGAAGTGAAAAATACAATAACTAAAATAAAAAATTTCAATGGATGAGCTTAACAAAAGATGGAAGAGACAAGAGGATCAGTAAGCTAAAAAAAAAAAGGTAGCAGTTGCTGAGCACAGTGGTATGGATTTGTAGTCCCAGGTACGCAGGCCACTGAAGCAGAAGAATTGTGAGTTTGAGGTGAGTCTACACAACAAGATTCTGTCCTGAGAAAGGAAAAAAAAAAAAAAAACAATGATGCACTCCTGTAATTCTAGCACTTTGGAGGCTATAGCAGGAGGATCAAGTTCAAGACTAGCCTGGGCTACGAAGTGAGCTCAAGGCCAGCCTGAACTGCAGAGAGAGACCCTGTCTCAAAATCAAAAAACAAGTAAACATACAAAAAAAATTTTAAAAAAGAACCTAATATGAACAGAGAAATAAATAAGCTTTAAAAAAGATAAAAGAAAAGATGTAACACTATTAGAAATCATAGAGACCATGAAAAAATAACACAATTTATTTCAAATGCTGAAAGAAAAGAACTATAAACACACAATCCCATATTCAAGCAGGGCATGGTGGGGCATACCTCTAATCCCAACACTGGGAAGGCTGAGGCAGGAAGATTGCTGTAAGGCCAGCTTAGGCTTCATAGTGAGTGTAGACCAGCCTGAATTACATAGCAAGACTCTGTCTCAAAAAACAAAACAAAACCAAAAAAACAAAGAAGAGAAAGAAAAACAAAGCTTGGAACAGTAGAAAGAAAATAAGAAAATAAAAGAATGTGAAAAGCGAAAAAATTAGTAAATGTAATAGTTTTCCTTTCTCCTGTCAAATTTTCTAAATGATTTCTGACAAGGGAAGCAAAAAATATATAATATTAACATAGCTCTAAATTTAAGTAGGTGAAATAATTAAGGAAATTAAATTTTCATAAGCCTGTCTCTCTAATTGTGAGAAAGTTAGAACTGCTCAAAACCTAAAAGATCTAGAGGGAAAATCACGTATTCACCAACCCTTGTTGTGCACTACTCTGACAGGGACATTATTTCCTGTTTATCAAATGTTTTTAGGTAGTATATATCAAAGAAAAAAACAACACAGCAGGATGGACTGCACATATATCAACACTGGTGACACTTTCACATCATGTTACAGTTACAGAGTATCATGATGCACATCTGTACAAAGAAGTCATAAACATTCTCAGAGTAGAATTATTGTATTCATGGTTAACAGATCCATGTGAAGCTAGAATGAGATCCTTAGCAATTTGCCTTACCTTGCAATCTTGCCAAGTATTTTTGCTAAGTTACTTAAAGGAAAGATGACTTTTACAATTTTTCAGTTATTTTAAAGCAGGAAAGAGTCACTCAGTAAGAGATAAACAATCAAGATTCAAAATACCCATAGGACAAAGGCTCCGATACAAAATAAATGGCATAGTTTCATATACATGTTTTTGTGTATTGGTCTACAGTAATTACATTGACTTGCTTTACTTCCCCAGGTTATCAGAAAGATAGCAGCTTTGCATTTTCAGTGGTCATCAAGCTTTACAAGACCTTAAAAAGGAAAGCCAAACCACTAAAGATTGTTTTCCCTAAAACACTACACTGATAAATAACTGTTGAACTGCTGTTCTGAGTAGGAATATGCTCATACACGGCACAATATTTCTGAAAATTTCCCTATTACCCAGCCCTGGGAGGGAGGAAGGCAATAAAATATGACTCACATCCATGGTTTTCTTGAATTGTAAGTTCCTCTGTTTATGGACAGCTTCCATTATAATTTCTGTCTGTAAGGAGAGTGCAAGTACTATTAGTGAAAACAGAGGTTATTTATATATATTTTTTGCAATGCTAGGGATCAAAACCCAGGGCTTCACACATGCTAGGCTCCCAACCGAGCCACACAAATAGCCCAGAAGTTATTATTAATACCAGTTTATCTTGAGAGCTAGGGGTTCAACATGAATTACTGCACTGAGTCATCATACCATCCAGAAGGCAGTTATGCTATTTATTACCCTCATTTTACAAATGAGAAAGCTGCAGAACCAAGAGGCTAAGCAATGTATCCAAGGCTTAAGGGCTAGTTAAAGATGGTGTCCATCTTTGAACTCGGGCAGTCAGACATTAAAGCCAGAAAAATTTAGACATTTTAGAGACTCACTGATCACCTTAAAACATTCTGCTCACTAAATCTGAAATCAATAAACTTTGGTTTCTTTTTTTCTTTTCTTGTCTTTTTGAAATGGTCTCACTATGCAGTTCAGGCTGGCCTTAAGCTCACTTTGCAGCCTAGGCTGGTCTCGAACTCGCCTCAGCCTCCCGAGTGCTATAAACTTTGGCTTCAAAGGGGAATTTTCAAGTTTTTGTTAAAAGCACCATTTGTACTTAAAAGAGGGCCGTTATTCTGTAAGTTTATGTTAAATTAAATTAAGGACATAAACATTCACTTCTTGGGCTGGCGATTTAGCTCAGTGGTATAAGTGCCTGCCTGGCAAACATTCACTTCTGTAGCTCATCAGTGACACACCTTTTACCAGTAAATAACCCAGGAAATAGGGGAAGAACTGTTTGTAGGATACGTAAAAGATGCTACCCTACTACTTTTTATCTCACCTAACTCAGCCAAGACAAGGTCCAGTGAGTTCACTTGGCAACAATTTCCCTGATGTCAGTTAAGTTTCTGTCTATCACCATAACATACAAATACAAATGGATTTTCAAGGTATCGGAGGGAATACTTAAGATGGTCTCACTTCAAATATGAGCTTGTGGGGTACATGAAACTCCCTTGGGAGCGTGACAAGCAGCTCTCAGAGAATCCACCATTAATATTCAAACCTAGATGAAAGAATGTACCAGAAGGTGACCTTTCACCATTAATGGGGGTGAGGGGGACAGCATAGACCAGGGCTCCAACATGAGCCCCATGCAGAAGAACATCCAGTAGATCCTTGTCATATCAGGCAGGGAGCTGCAGGTTCACGTGAGCAACTATGCTCTTCTGCCAGGAGGAGGAGCAAGAAAGCAGCAACCAACTTTAACCTGACAAGCACGACCCATAAGGTCCAAGAAGTGATATGCCACGTGTGCTCAAGGCCACTCAAGGATTTACTGATGAGATTCCAGACACCAGAGCCACCTCTGTCTGCTACACTGCCTCATCTCGCCATGTCAGTCTCCAACCGTAGGGCAATGCTACTCATGTTGACCCCAGTGAATCAAAGGTTCTCTTTTGGGTCTTCTGGGGAAAGAGTCTCTTCCAGGACTCAGAATTTCTGCTTACACCAATCCAGTGAAAATATGATTGCATTATTGATAACCCAAAGCAGTGCAAAACAGTTATTTCTGCTATAGAGTGGGAGAAGCAAGATGGAGAGACAAAGGAGAAGATATTTACAAATAACCCAGATATCCCTGAGGTAAATTATTGAAATGGCTGCTTTGTGGTCTATTTTCCACCTATCTCCTCTCAGACCACATTCTGCAAACTGGAAGCATCAGTGCTAGTTACTAAGGAAGGCTTCCTGATCAGGAGATGGCTCTCTTCGTAGACATCACAAATATCTCTGGTGACCTTTTGCATCTCAGCTGAGACTCTAAAACAATGTGGGCACCAGAGGACAGAGTGACTGGCCATGTGCCACCTTTGTCATGCTAAGGATGTTTCTGGGATGAAGAAGAAACCTCAGCACCCTCAAACATCAAGACTGCTGCGAATGAGACCCAAAGAGCCCTCTACTCCCTCCCAGCTTCTAGGGATAAGTTAAGACCCTCTCACTGCTTCATGTGATGGCCTTTCACTCTGCTGGCCTTACCATCAACAATATTTCTTCCAGAAGTTCCTCTGGCCCCATGGATGAGGTTCATGATTCCACTGTGTGTTCAGATGGCACATTTCTTTCCCCAGCATCATGTAAGTCTCATCATGTTTTACCATGAATCTGTGGCATACTAGTCTATCTGGCCATGCTCTTTGCTTAGTGACAGAAGGATAACCATGTCCATTTTGATGTCCACCCTCAGAAAATATTAGTCGTAAGAGTGAGCAGCCAGCTGGATATGGTGGCTCACACTTGTAATCCCAGCACTCGGGAGGCTGAGGTGGGAGGATCATTGTGAGTTTGAGACCAGCCTGGGATACAAAGTGAGCTCAAGGCCAGCCTGAACTGCATAGCAAGACCCCATCTCAAAAAAAGACAAAAAAAAAAAAGAGTGAGCAGCCATAAATCTCTTACCAGCCATCCACCCACACCTTTTCCATCCCCGTGTGTTAAAATAAACCAACTCATGGTTTTCTTTGATAAGTGGAAATGGCTTAATTTCCAAGAAGTGGAAGGCCAAAGCATGCAGTTTGACCATTAAAAAATGAGAAGTTAGCATTGACATCTTTTCCCTAAAATTTAATTTAAAACAAAATTAAATACAGAAGTGGTGCAACTCCAAAGACCACTATTACTCAACAAATTACAAATTTATCCATTTTGGACTTTTCAAAGCTCGTAACATATTTCTCTGCTGTAGAGGGAACTTGGTGATAGCAGCAAGTTGAGCACAGGCTACTCTACTGCGTTACAGAATTCAGGACTTGTCTAACTAATGCATCACAATTTGGTCGTGCAATTTGTTAAGAGGGGAAGTTTCAGAAATCTGGTTTAAAAAAAAAAAACTGTCCCTGGAAAAGCCAGAGCTGTCAGAGAGACTTGAAAACAAGAGGAAATGATTCTCCTCTCTTCAGTGGAAATCATGTGCATAGACTCTGGTTATCTAAGACATTAACTTTTGAAAAATTGAAATTCCCCTAGTCAGGAGAGCAAGGCTGGCAATGTCAACATAAAGTTGTGTCTGACCAGTCAATGGGTATAACATGAATGCTAATTCTATTCATAAAAACGTCTTGCAGCCAGACACACTCCTCTGGCTTAACAATGGAAAAAATGTGTGCAATTGTTTGATGTAATATTCCTTAAATGTTCCTATCTGCCCTTCCTTCCTAGTAAGAGGTACAGAACAAGTACAGGCTGTGAATTGAGAAAAAGTCAGGTGATGCTAAGTGTGGATCATAACATGACAATAAATGAAAGATAAGGACACCAATAGGAGACTACTACTCAAGCCAGGTGTTATGGCTTGTACAGAGATGTCCCCCAAACCTCATGTGGTTATAGATAGAACTTTTGGTGGTGGATGGCTCTAAAGTGTGATTCTGGGATTAAGGATGTGATGCTGGAATTGATTCATGGTGCAGTGCTAGGATTTTGGGGTAAATGCTACCCACCCTAATGGCAAGTAGCCTGGATAAAATATAAGGGACAGAGAAAGCTGCTGTGGTCATTGATACTTGTCACTTGTCACTTGTCACTTGCTGCTTGCTGCTTCCTGCCTTCTGCCTGCCTGCTCTATGATGCCCTTCTTCCATGCTACCCTGCTTTGGAGCCAGCCAACTATGAACTGAAACTTCTCCAAACTGAGAGCCAAATAAACCTTGCTTCCATTAACTTCAAGTGTCCAGTATTTCATCTCAGCAATGAGAGAAAAATAACTTAAGCCCTGGGCATGGTGGCACATGCCTAAAATCCCAGTACTTTGGAAGGCTAAATTAGTTTGAGCTCATCTTAGGCAAGTAAGTGACTTAAGTGAGAAGCTATCTCAACATTAAACATTAAGAAGGGATAGAGATGTATGTCAGAGTGAGAGCAATGTGTTCAATCCCAATACACAAACACACACACACACACACACACACACACACACACACACAAACTGTTACCCACACAAAATGTCAGGGCCACCAAAGAAACCAGTCCCTGACTCCAACTCAGGAGTACAGGTAAAGTTGCCAAGTTTGATGTTAGGGTACAGGCAGATTTAATAGTTGGCTGGGTGTTGGATACACATCCTGCAGATAACCTCTGGGCACTAAAAAGCCAGGACAGCTGGTCCCAAAGGGACCTCCAAAAAAGGTGAGTCACCAGAAGTCCACACAGAGCTGGGTAGAAATCTTTTGGCACAAAAAAAAAAAAAAAAAAAAAGAAATCTTTTGGCACTACACAAGGAAGACTTTGTGCCCCACAGAGGCCAGGTTAAAGCCTGGATACAGAAGGAAATTCTGGAAAGGTCCTAGTTGACTACAGAGTAAAGCTAAAATATACAAATCTTTCAGGAACAAAATGAAAAGGAGTCAGAATTGTGGCTGGTTGAATCTAAGTAATAACTTTGTTACGAGCCCAGATTGTTTTTTTAGTCCCTGTAACTTCCTAAATATTTGCCAGTTCTATGAACTCTTGTTGACTCTCATGTAGTTAGAATAAAGCCTCTCAATGAAAAAAAGCCTATTCATAGCTTTTATGAAGATAAAAACTACTTGGACTTCCAAGAGCCTCTGTTTCCCTATTTGTAACAGGGTTACTCAATATGTGAGGGACTTCAAGGGGCAGTGTGAGTCTCCTCAAGTTCCTTGCCCTCACCTCATTTCTTACCAGAAGAAAGAGTATGATCTGGGAGCCCACCAGCTGGGATCTGTCCGGGGCTTATGAGTGGTATTGCTTTAGTAATAGTAGCACATGTGAAAAGAAGAGGTGGCCCCTGAGTCCTGCAAACATTTTAAAGAGGACAGACCTGGGTGCAAAAAGGGGTCAGAGACACAATCACCTAAATTGAGTCCTCACATAGAGACTTCAATAAATAACTTTTCAGGCTACAAAAAAGCATAATTGTGTGGGGTTAGAAGAAGAACTACGGAGTTTAAATAACAGAAAAACTCAGGGTTTTCTGCAGGAGGAAGGGTGACATTTTAACATACTCGCAATTCCTACCTTTTTCCGTTGTAGCTTCTGCTTTTCCCTGAATTCTTCCATTTTCCTGGCCTCTTCTCTTAGAGTCTGTGCAAGCTGAATGTGACATTGTGCGACACTGTCCACCTCTGCAAAAAGAATTTTTTAATGAAACAATAATCAAGCTCTATTATATCTAAATTAAAATACACAAAAGTATAAAAGTTATAGATGCATAATCACAAAAGATGGAAACAAGCATTAAAATCATCTGGTCACCAACATTTATTAAGCTCTTTCTTGTGCCCAGCATGTCCCTTGACCACCAAATCCAAGGCTAAAAGCTCTTATCTTAGCCTCCTTCCTCTAACTATTACTAACCTAGCATATGGCCAGCACTGGGGGGAAAAACACAGCCAAGGGTCCATCACAGACACTTGCATCCCAGGATAGATTCCTAAAGCAATCATAACTTCAAATGTGAGTCTTCATTCTCTTTACACAGCATCTTGGGATCTTTCCATCTGTAACCTCTCAGGAGCCTGAACTTTTATTTAAACAGTCATACAACAAAAGTTTGCCTTCCACTAGTTACTACTGGCTAGAAAAACTTAGTTATTTCTCCCTTTTTTTCAAAAATCTTTACAGTGGTAATGACTTACCTTTATAATAGACAAAATACACTTTTTAATTTTACTTTTTCTATAAAAACAAATTAAAGCATGGTATTAAAAGTAGAAAATGTCCAAGTATGGTCTATAATCCCAGCACTCTGGAGGCTAAGGCAGGAAGATCACTGCAAGTTCTAGGCCAGCCTGGGCTATACAACAAGAGTGTGTCTCAAAACATACATACATGTATACATACATACATATATACATGTATGCATAAGTCTAGAAAGACTGAAAGATTTTATCTAAGAAAAAATTTTACACTTGTGCTGTCCAAATACCCTTGAAGACATATGAAGAAAACAGAAAAATATTTGCAATTGATATAATTAAGACAAAATACTTATATTAAATTTCTCAAATAAAAAGAATATGTAAAACAACTAAATGCCCATCAACTGAGGAATAGATAAAAAAAGACTTGGGATTTTTGTACAATTGAGTACTACTCAGCTATGAAGAATGATAACATTGAGATATTTATAAGTAAATGGATACAACTTGAGAGCATACTCACAAATGAAATAAATCACACTCACATGTGTAAATACTGTATTGTCTCCCTAGCATAAAAAATGGTAAGAGTACATAAGATACAAAATCCTCAATAGATGCAGTGTAAGAGTAAGAATCTGCTCAAAGGAAAAAAAAATAACATCTCAGGAAAAAGGAGGAAAAAGAAAAAGGAAGGGGAAAAATATCTAAATTTGTATAAACACAGAATAGCTAAGATGATTGTGCTACAAATTCTATAAGTTTGTGGAACAAAACAGTTAACATCCATATAATTGAAACAATTTTGCATGTTTGTGTCTAGTGATCTGGGGAACTCTTGAAGATCACTATATAAAACAACAACCTTAGTTCTGTTCCTACCACCTTGTGTTGAAGGCCTATTTGTCATTGTTTTGGACTCTTTGCTATTGTTATTTGTCTTATTTCTTGTTCTTCCCTCTAATACAGAAAGGATAGGTATACATATAGAGGCTTATACATGCCTAGAACTTCTCCTAAACAGTTTATGATAATCAATTATATTATGCGTGATGAAATAAATAGCTACTTTGAAGAAAAAGAGACATTATGGTATCCATTGCTGATACCATATCGTCATACTGTGAAATTCAGTAATGCTCTTATTCTTTGTTCAGAATGGTTATAGCCTTTTTCGTATTGTTTAATTTCAACATACATGAAGGTATGGATAGCTATTTTGAAGAGAATAAGAGACATTATGGTAACTATAATGATTTTCCTATTGTCTGGTTGTGAAAGGCTCTATTCTGATCAGCTTTATACTTTTTTGTTTTGTATGAATTGATTGTGTGTGAAGATATAGACAACTATTTAGAAGAAAACAAGAGACATTATGGTAGCCACTGTAGATCTCCTGTTGTCTTGCTTTGAAATCTGTGTCACTTACATTTCTTCTGATCTGCTTTGTTCTGTTTAGTTATGTTTAGTTATACCCTCTTTAAAATTAAATTTAAAAAAGAATATTTCCTAGTAGTAAAAAATCATTTAAAGAACATGAAATTTAGAAAAGAATAGTTAAGTGGCTAATATGCAATTGAAAATACATTCAGTCCTAAAACTACTAAAAACATGGAACACTTTAAAACCCAAGATATGTCACTTTTACCTTTAAGTTTTGTAAAATTTCAAAAGCAAGAAAATTCTAGGTACTGATGAACATAGTATGAAACGATCCTGTTGGCAGGGAAAGAATCAGCACTTTTCTGGAGAAAATATGGTATTTTGTTGAGTCAAAAATTTTAAATGGAAAAGAATAAGGCAGAGCTGTATGAATTGAAATAAAAAGCTGTCTAGGATACATTAATTAAAACATCAAATTATAGAGAAATTTGCCTATCATCTTCTTGTATAAAAACTCACTCATGTCTATCTGTATATATACCTGCTAAAAAGAGAGAGGGAAAGACCTGTATATGCATAGAAAACGATCTGGGATGATATATATCAAGTTGCTAACACGATTAAAATTTGACATTTTTCATTTAAGAAATATATGCTCTGGGCCAATCCCAGAGATTCTGAATCCCTGCCATTACTACTATTTATGTTTATGAATAAATAAATATATGAATAAAATTTAAATTCATTAAATGCCTTATGTACTTACCACTGAGAAGTGGAATTCTAGTGTCTACAATTTCCTTTATAGTTACATGTTGGATTTAAATACAAATTAATATAAACATACATTATGCAAAAATGAAGAAAATAAAACTTTTTTGAGAGAAAAAAGTAAATGATTTAGGTGACCCTCCCTATTCTGAAGTTTCTTGACCCATACAAGTGATCTTACAGTATATAAGAAATATGAAAATATACCATCTTTACCTTCAGAAATGGATTCATTGATGAATTAAAGAGAGAAGACAGCAGCTAATGAAAAGTTATGAGAGGATTATTTATCCTCTTAACTAGCTAATATTTATGATATTGTGGTATATATATTTTAGGTTTCATCTGTGGCTCTAGGCTTATAACTCCCTCCCCAAGGCGGATCATGGAAATCCTCATCTTCCCCTGCTTCAGCTGACCATAAAGAAATTCTCTTACATGACTGCCTGATAATAGGTTGCGCGGCCCTCCTCAATCCAGAGAATTCCTGCCCCGTTCCTGGAGAAAAGAATGCTGCGGAGAAGCCAAGAAGAACCTGAAGAGACAGGCCTTGTTGGGACTCCCCACCTCACATGTGAGAAAGCAAGCCTGTGCAGTGACGTCTCCATAGAAACCCTAGAAGACAAAGTTTGAAAGCTTCTGTGTGGGTTCCTGGAGGGCAGTGCAGCTCGGACAAGGCAAGGACGCTCCATGGCCCTCTCCTAGCGGTATCCTTGATAATAAATCAGCAAATGTAAGTAAGTATTTCCCTGAGTTCTGTGAGCTGCTCAAGTTAATTAATTGAGTCAAAGAAGTGACTGTGGGAACTCTGATGTTTGCTAGTTAGTAAGAAGCACCCATAAAACAAGCGGGGGCTTGCAACTGACATCGAAGGTGGAGGTGGGAGGCAGTCCTGGGGATGAGCCCTCAACCTGCCTTGTCTGCTCCAGTCTCCTAGTGGATACTGTGGAAAAGGAACTGGATTAGAGGACGCCTGACTAGTTGGTGTCTACTGCAAAAGAGGTTGCTTACTTGCTGAGAGAGAGAAACTATCATATATCTGGCACCTAAAGGCCTCTGGGTTGATTGTTGTGGTGAGAGAATAGAAGAGACCAACTGTATTTGTTGTGACAGCATGTCACTCAGCAGCTACAGCAGCACTTCACACGTCACACCAACTGTGTCTGTTAAAAAGTCATTAACATGGAGACTCCAAACATTTAGGGCAAAAAGCCTCAGGAACAGGCTCTTAGTGCCTGGGACCAGTAAGGCCGGATAGGATGAAATCCAAATTAGATTTGTAACCAAAGGTCAATACAGAAACAAAAACAGAAAGACTAAGAAAACATGCTGAGGGCACCATGACTTGTGCTTTCCATTTGACCTTGAGACATGGAGTCAAATAAAGAATTGGCCAATTGAGAAAGTGAAGGTGGCCCCACAGGAAGAAAACTGTTTCCTCCCTACAAAAAGATACAGGAAGTAGAGCTTCACCCCAGCAGAAAGAAATCCTGACAATTCTAAAGACTTTCAGTTTCCTCTTACAATTAGCTTTTACTATTCTCAAGAAGCATGATAAAATTAGAATGCCCATGTGAAATAAGAAAAACATCCAAAACACAATGGCGCTCCCTCTCACGGGAGCCTTTTTCTAGGTGGGCAAAGGAGAAGAATGAGCAGGGCGTCCTGTTATTTCTACAACATAGCATCCTGACTTTGAACAGAAATGAAGAAATAAGTAAGAATTAGAGAGAGAGTAGAATGTGGTGTTAAAAATGACCTGAAACTCTCGCAGGCAATCAGCCTGGAAAATTGTGAGCGCTGATGCAAAGCCTTGATTTAAGGTGCCTTTGATGCACTCAAGAAACATGTAGTAGGTGGTGGAATATAAGCATTGCTGCCCAAAGATACACATCTGTAAATTCTTGAGGAAAGGTAGTAGTTGATGCCAGGGATGAGGTGAGAACGTATTATGATTTGGATCTAAAATGTCCCCCCGGAGGGTACAGAAGTGAGGCTTTTGGAAGGAGGTGCTACCCTTATTGGTGGATTCATCCACTGATGAGCTCACAGCTGACTGTGCTGTTGGGAGGCGGGCCCTGGTTGAAGGACACATGTCCCTAGGGGCCCAAGCTGGGTATATTCTTAGGCCTGGCTCCTCCCTTCTCTCACTGCATCTTGGCTATTATGAGTTCAGCAGCTTTCCTCCATCATGGCCTCTAATCGTGCCATATCTGCCTTCGAGCCAGCCTAAAGTGGCTGAAACCAGGAATGGAAACCAGAAACCAAAATAAACCTTTTGTCCTTCAAATTTTACATGTCAGGCACTTTGTCCCCGCAATGGAAAATGACTAATACAAAGGATTAGGTTTGTGGTCTAAGAACCTGCAACACTGACAATGTAGACAAAGAAGAGCAGAGAAAGGGCCAATTGAGTAACTGGAAAAGCAGGAGGGTCAGATGGGATTGATAGGGTCTGCTGGCCTGGAGCTTAGATGTCACATGACATCTGCCCAGCTTGGTACCAGGCAAACAACTTATCTCTCCAAGATAACTTTTACGTTCTCCTCCTCATTTCAGAGATAAATCTCCAGCTCCCTTTTTGAGTGTTGCACTGAGCCCTCTCCAAGCCCAAGACTCCACAATCCCCCCGTCTAGCCCCCAATAAATCTTTCTGTCTCCTGTTTTACACAGGCAGATGCTCTGCTCCTTCAAATCAGTAGATGATATGTCATTTTGTCCACCTCCCAGACTCTTCCCCCAGCCAGAACTAATAAAAGTAGTCCCACTTCTTTGTTCTTGTTAAGAGCTGCTGCATCCCTAGAAAGCTCTCTCTCTCACATGCCCACACTAAAGGCCTCCTCCTTTGTCCCCTTCTTATGTCTCTCACTGTCTCTGTACTGACTGTCAAAAATACTCAATCAGGATGAAAGCTTCAAGATAGAAGAAAAGCTCAACAGTGGTGAGCGCTACTGGAGAGTCAAGAAGAACAGTGAAATTGTCCACTGGACTTAATGTCACAAAGATTATTAGTATCCTTGGAGAGGGCAGTTCCAGAGATTGGTCAGGCCACAAGCCAGATTAGAATGATCACCTCACCAAGACAATGTTTCATTTGCGGCTTCTTGTAATTGAAGATTTCTTCTGCATAAAAATTATAGGGAAAATTGGGGATTTAGCTCAGTGGCATAAACGCCTGCATAGCAAGTGTGAAACTGTGAGTTCAATCCCCAGTACCAAAAAAAAAAAAGAGCCAGGCATGGTGGCACACGCCTAAAACCCCAGCACTTGGGAGGCTGAGGCAGGAGGACGGCTGCAAATTCAAGGCCAGTCTAGGATACACAGTTTGTTCAAATCAACCTGAATACATAGTGAAATCTTGTCGCAAAAAGACCAAAGTGTGGCAGGGAAGGTGGAGGATCTGGGAGAAATGGAGAGTCATTTACAACACTATTCCAGTGCCCAAAGGCCTGCAGACCTGTCTCTGGGAAGAGGAAATCAGACTGCCAGTAAGAACACGCAAGGGGTTAGGCTGGTAGACAAGTCTGGCTGAGGCAGGTGCTGTGTGGAAAGCATGTGGGTGAGCATGTTTCTGAGCTCTAATGAAGCAGGGTACACTATCCTTAAGGATGTTTTTCCCAGTGTGGTTCCCACACCGTGGCCTTGGCATCATCACTTGGAAATTTTTGAGTCATGCCGAATTTCACGCTCCACTCCAGACCTTTTGAGTTAGAAACTTAGGGGGGTCCCAACAATCGTGTTAACAACCAGCCCTCCACATGTTTCCGATGCTCACGTGTGAGAGGTGCTGCTCTAAGAAAGCCATAGGCACATCTGCTACACAGGCATGGAGCGCCTCCAGTTCATTTCAACTCTGCAGAACTCACCTCAGGAGTTGCTCTAATTTTTTTCATCCAGAAGAAATTTCTCATCAAATTTAAACTTGCCTTTGATAGCAGTCACAGAACTTACCAAAGACAGCAAACAATTTTTAAAAATCACTTACGCTGCTTGAAGACATCAAGGGCCCTCTTCAGGGTGCTAAAAAAGCAAGCACACATATGATTTCAATTCTGGCAGTGGTCTAGAGAGTCTTATTATTATGCCTTTGCATGCTTCTCTGTGCCACATCTTAACTTAGAGCCCACAGACTTATCCTTGCAGTGAGCGTGAGAAGACGGCAAAACACGCAGACCTCTTAAGCCCGATTTCCTTAAACCTCAGCATAAGCAATTCTTCATTGTTTGCCTCGGAAGTACAAGGCGCCAACACTAGGCTTCATTTTCCCCAGTAATAACATAGGAATCTCTTTCTCCTAAAACCAGTTGTTGTTTAAAGTATAGCAATTAGAATCACAAAAACAAGGCAATAGAGAAGAATTCAAACTCTTGTTCCTGAATGCCTTCTTTTTATTCACTCAGTCATCATATATTTATTGATCATGGGCCAAGCATTGTGTCAGATGTTGGTGATTCAGTGGTACAAGACAGGCATCATCCCAAACCTTAGCGTCTACTGGATGAGACAGACATTAAACAAATTATATTAGTTTTTCTATTGCTGTGGAATAAACCCAGCAGTATAAAATAATAAATATATATTATCTCACAGTGTGTGTGGATTAACAGTCACTGGATTCTGTGCTTAGAGTCTCACAGACTACAATCAAGGCCTAGCCACACTGCATTCTCATTTGCAGGCTTGATAGGGAAGAATCTGCCCCAAAGTTCACTAGAAGCTAAAGTTGATATTTTATTCTCACCCTAAACAAAGAAACCTCCAAGAATGTTTTAATTCAAAGCACTCTTCCTGCCAAACCATGTTACTACTAACCATATATTTTTATTATGTTTAGTTACTACTATCCAATTTTTTGTTGCTGTTTTTTAGAATCTCTCTCTATGTAGTTCAGACTGCTTCTGAACTCACTACGTAGCCCAGCGTGGCAGTGAACTAACAGTAAAACTCCTGCCTCCTAGGATTACAGTGTGCACCACCATGCCTGGCATTATCCAATATTTACATTCCATCTTGTTTTTTAAATCCCAAGAACTAACATAAATACTGTTTCTTCATAAACTTTTGATTTACTCATGTTTGTGATATCATTTCTCACTATTGTTTCCTGAACTTTAGAACTTTTCTTCCTAGTCTATTTTCCTTCTTCCTGAGGATATCATTTCAAAGTACCTTTACTGAAAATCCATTTTAAAATTTTGATTGTCTAAACAATTTTCATTTCAAAATTTTTGTTTCTCTAAGAACATATTTATTTTTTTATCCTTTCTTGAAAAAATAATTTCTCTGCATATACAATTCCAGGTTGATAATTATTTCCTCTTAGTACTTTAAAGACAGAATTGCACAGCATCTGGTTTCAATGTTAATGTTGAAAACCCAGCTGTCACTCTAATAATAAATGTGCCTTAATGTTTGTTGGTTTGTTTGAGACAGGGTTTCACTATGCAGTTCAGGCTGGCCTTGAACTGACTTTGTAGCACAGGCTTGTCTCAAACTGAATTGATCCTCTGGTCTCAGGCTCCCCAGTGCTGGGATAACAGGGATGCACCACCACGCCCAGCTAATGTTCATTAATGCATAATCATTCTTTCTGCATCACATTATACTTTTCATCATTTTGAGTCTTGCTCAGTTTGATTACCCTTATGTCATCATGAATTTATCATTCTTGGAATTTGCTTTGCTTCCTGAATCTGAGGATTTATGGCTCCCATAACTTCTAAAAAATCCTCAATTTTTGTTGCTTCAAAGATTTCTTCTTAGGCCAGGGATACAGCTCAGTGGCACAGTGCCTACCTGGCAGTTTCAAGGTCCTGAGTTCAATTCTAATACCCAAGCAAGCAAACAAACAAACATTTCTTCTCCTTCTCTCTATTATATCTTCTGGAATTCTGATTAAATGTGCATGATACATTACTTTACTCTCCACATCTCTTAATTTTTTCCTGTTTTTTGTTATTCTCTGACTTTTAAAAATAATTTTTAGATTTTATTAGGACTTGTTTTTCCTGGGATAAGTTCTGGGTGATTTCATTTTCTAAATTTTATTAAATGACAAGTAAAGATTTCATATTTACTCTGTATTACATGACATTTCAAAATGTGTACACCCTGTGGAATGGCTCAGCAGAACTAATCAACATATACATTACTTCTTCTACAGACCTGCTTTTTTTTGTAATAACAACATTTAAAATCTACTCTGTCAGCAGTTTACAGTCCAATTCTTTGTTGTTAATTATAATCACAATGTTGTACAACAGAGCTCTTTACCTTACTTCTCCCATCTGAGGTGTTGTATCTTTTGACCATCACCCTAACCATGTCTCCAGGCCCTGGTGATTTTTTTCATTTCAAGCATTCTTGGAGACTTCTGAAAGTTATGTCATTCATACATTAAGTTCACACTTTTTGTTTCCCTTCCTTCCTTCCTTTCCTTTCTTCCCTCTCATACTCTCTTTTTCCCTCCTCTCCTTCCTTCCTACCTTCCTTCACTCTCTCCTTCCTATTTTTAAGTTCTGGGGATTGAATCACTGAGCTGCATCCACAGCCTTTTATTTTTCTCTCTTTGAGACAGCTTCTCACTAAATTGCCCTGGCAAGTCTTGAACTTGTGATCTCCCTGCCTCATACTCCCTCAATGCTAAGATTACAGGCACATGCCTCACTACATGGCTCATTCATTTTCTTTAAACATAGTATACAGGTTTGGTTTTTAGATCTGTTAATTCAAGTCCCTGCATATCTCTTGTTGCTACTTACTGCTTCTTTTGACTCATATTCATAGTAATTTATTTCCATATGCATAATGAGCTCAGCGTTCATTGTGGGTCTTCAGAAAGGATCTGCATTCATGTTTGCTAGGTACGTAGTAGACTGGACCACCTAGGACCACTGTCAGCCAAATTTTTGGATTAGGATTCTTCAGACTGCCTTAATGAAATTTGATAATGTAGCATGCCAACTCTTGTCTGTTCCATTAGGAGCTCTGAGGGGACACTGGTGCAAAGCACTGAACTAATTCTGAAGGCTTTCAAAGTGTAGGTCCTATTTGAGAATATGAAGCCAGTCTGTACATAAGGAAGTGTTTCAAAGTAGATACCACATCTTGGTCATTTCTGTATTCTCAAAGTATTCAGTGAGTGGTTGAAGAATAATTATGATGCAAAAATCTCACACTGGGGGTAACTAAAAAAAAGATATTTCTCATAACTACTACAAATCCTAAAATACATAATTATATAATTGTATATTTATATTATATAATTATCTTATTGAAAATATATTCTACCTATAAAACAAGAAGTCCTTCTATTATATTTCTAGCATAAAATTATATATACCTTTATGCAAAAAAGTATGCATATAATAAATTTCAAGGAAAATGAAATATTAATGATAGGTTGTGCCCTCCTGGTTATTTTAAGTCTTCTGTTTAGCTCTATTTTTTTCAAAATTGGAAGTAAGATTAAAATTATTTTCAACTAACACACTGCAGCCTGCTGGGAGCTTGAGACAATCTTAGCCAACCTGGAAACCTGAAAGACACACAGCACCTACTTGATCTCCGACTGTCCACATGGCTTCTTCCTAGACAAGCTGAGCAGATCCTTGCCATATTTTTCTTCAATGGATGCCCTAAGGGAAACAGAAGAGAGGGCCATGGGTCTTACTCAGAGCTGACCCTTAGGAAACACACCCAGCACTGTCCTTGAAAGCAAAGTTGCCCTTCATAGCAGTAACTCAGGCATGATGCCATTCTTTAAAATGTAAAACTGCCTTTATAACAAGGAAGAATTACAAAAAGAACAGTGGCTTTCACCCATAACGTGGTATTTTCCAGATAAAAGTCTCAAGGATGGACATCACAACAAAACTGAGCTTTTGTTATTGAGATAGGTCTCAACAACAGGCTAGACTCCAAGTTCTGGGCTCAAGTGATCCTTCTCCCTCTTCTTTCTGAATGACTGGGACCAGAGGTAAGGCGACTGCACCTGACCTGAGCACTTTTTTAAGTGGAGAAAGAACTATATCCAACAAACACTGCACACGGGGGCCCAGCCCTCCTCTACTGTCTGCAAGTGGGTCTTCTACCACTCTGCGGAATTCTTCACTCACAGTCACTTCAAATACACAACTAATCTGTACCAAAGAAAAGGGAATTGCAAGATATAAACTCTGCAGCCAATGTGTCTCACAAAATGACTGCTTGTTCTCCAGGTTGCAACGTCTGTCCGAAGCACACAATTCCCCTCTTCCTTTCCCCTCTTCCCATTGGTTTCTCTCAGCACTTTTGATCCCAGCTCCAGCCTTATCCAGCCCATAGTACTAGGCCAAGATGATTTAAACTCATCTAGTTCACTTTCTTTCTTCAGTTTTTGAAATTTTGTTTGTTTTTTCTTTTTTTCTCCTTGAAATAAAACGGACTTGAAAAAAATAAATAATTTTAAAAACTATATGACTAATAAATTAATATATTTTTACTGAAAAAGAGTCAAACAACACAAAGCATATTATTAGCATGGACAGAACCACCATGTTTGAGATGTGTCCTTTGTTACAGGGTTCTTGATTTGTTGCCAATTTTTTATTACCACCAAAAAAGAAAGGGAAGAAAGAAAACCACTAAATGAAATTCCTTAGACATCTATTCATGGGTATTCTGGTAATGTCTAAGAGTTCTGAGAAAGTAAATTTACTTGTACTTTAAAATTTGAAAGATTGTACCAAACTACCCTTCGAAGATGCTGTCTCAATGTGTATGTCCACCAAAACCTTCCATTCTCAAGAACCCTCACCTACATCGAGTTTTTTTCCTTTCTTTGTTTCTTTCTGTGTGTGTGTGTGTGTGTGTGTGTGTGTGCGCGCGCGCGCGCATGTGCGTGTATTAGATGAGTTTAAACCATCATAATCTAATACTATGGGCTGGATAAGGCTGGATTTGGGATCAAAAGTGAAGCTGCTGAGACAGACCAATGAGAAGAGGGGAAAGGAAAAGGGGAATTGTGCGCTTCAGATAGGATCTTGCTTCTCATTATGTAACTCAGGCTGGCCTTAAACTTGCAGTGATCCTCTTGCCTCAGCCTCCCAATGCTGGAATTCCATGTCCAGTTGGCTTTTGGATTTTGAGTCTGTTGCAAGATCCTACCTCTTCAATTTATCAGGGATAAGGAGTTACTGTCTACTTGATCCAGCCCCTGGTTCTTTGGCATTGGCCTATAGTATTTTTATGACCCTTAGGCAACTCAGTGTTGGTATAATAGGAAGAACAATGGTTAGAACAATTATGTCACTTTGGCTAAAGTGATACAATCAGCAAAAATAATAGCATCAAACACAGCCTAGAAAATGATAAACTGTGGTTAATTATTAATTTGCTACCTTTAGCCATATGAACTAGATTTGTGGTTATACAATAAAATTAGAACTAATCAGTAAATAAGCCCTTAATATAGTGATTTTATTCTCAGGGGAGAAAATTTTAAAAAGGGGGAAAAATAGAGAAATGGAAGAAGAGGAAGAGATTAGAGGCAAGGCTGCAGGGAAGACAGTGAGTCCATGCTCTGTGCCCCTCCATTCAATCCCGGAGGGCAGACAACTTGAAGTCAGTGACTTTGTGATCTGAGCCTCACCCTTGCATCCCAGAAGGCAGGGCGGATGTAAGAATGTAAGGCTGAAAGAAACCTCAAGACCCAGGAAAACAGCCTGGTGCACAGATGCACACAGATGCCAAGATCACATCCATATCCAACCATCTCTGAGATACAACACAGACATTAGCACAGAACTATAAACACCAAAAGAAGAAACTGAACATCGATGCTCCTATGCAGCTGCCATCAGCCATCAGGGACCAGTAGCCAGTTCCAATGATGAGAACCAGGTAGCCAAGTACCAAGAACCTGCCACCATTGGGGAGCCTCAGAAGAGCTGTGCATGTCTGGAGAAGCCAGCCTTGTACCCTAATACTCCCCTGGGAACCTAGGATAGGAGAAACTAGGTACCTGACCCATTCTACTACACTATGGATGGACAACCAACACAGGAAGTGCCTGGGACCCCACAACCTGCTTGTCAGGAAGAACCCAGGAAAATGTCAAGATGAAGAAGCAAAAGGCAGTCTCTGGCCTCCAATCCATGCAGAACAAGTCCAGGAGACTTAAACATGGAAAGATCAGGAGTTGCACACCTGAAGTTTCTAAAGTGATGGCAACTAAAGTAAAGAAACTTCATGAGGCTATAAAAGAAATTAGATCAGAAATGCTGCTTCAGGGGCTCAATGGCACAGGCGCCTGCCTGGCAAGCACAGGGCCTTAAGTTCAATCCCTGGTATAAAAAAAAAAGACAGAGAGAAATGCTATTTCAGTAAGAGAAGAAAAGATAAACATAATAAAAGAATTGCTGAGCATATCTAAAGAAGATATGGATAAAAAATAGAGGAGCACAGGAAAATGAAGGAAACCTTGAATGAACAATATGAGAGAGACACAGAACGCATCAAACAGATTTAAAGGGATATCCAGGAAATTGAAAACTCCATCAAAAGCTGACAAAATCACTTGAAAGAAACTGAAGATAAACTTTCAGATCTTGAAGACAGGTTTTCAGCTAGCAACCATTAAAGGAGAGAGCTCTTAAAAATAACAATACACCAGGAAATAACAATTTAACAGCTATAAGATGGTGCAAAGAAAAATAATTTAAACGTAATAGGTGTCAATAAAAAAGTAGGGATCAACACAAATGAAATAAGACTATTTACAGAAGTAATAGCAGAGAACTTCACAAGCATAGGAAAAAGACCTGACATACAGATAAATGAGGCATAGAGAACTCTAGCTAGCCATAATCAAAATAAATCTACACCCAGACATATACTAATCAAGATCCAAGAAATTCAGCACAAGAACAGAATATTAAAGGCTACTAGAGAAAAAAAAAAACAGATCAACTACAAAGAAAAACTCATCAGACTCAAAACAGACTTCTCAACACAAACTATCAAGTCAAGAAGAGATTGGAGTGAAGTATTTCAAGTCCTGAAAGAAAACAACTTCCAGGCCTGATTCATATACACCACAAATCTATCTTTCAAAATTAATGGATAAACAAGATATTTCCATGACAAAGAACAACTGAAGGAATTCATGGCTACCAAACCAACTCTACAAAGAATACTAAAAGATATTCTAGAGAGAGATAAAAACGACCACAGTTCCAGGAACAGCAGCAGAGGGGATCACTAAGCAGGGCAAGCAGTTGAATGGAGGAGAAAAGTAGAAAGCCAATGGCAGGAAAATAGGAAGACAGAGATGAGCCAGTACATGTTGGCCACAGCCATTAACATAGATGACTGGAACTCACCAATAAAAAGAAACACAGGCAAAGTGGATTGGGAGACAGGATCCATCAATATACTCTATACAAGAAACACATTTGACTCGAAAGGAAATTCATAGACTGAAAAATCAAAAGTGAGAAAAGAATGCTCCCATGGGACAGGGAATAAGGAAAAGACAGGAGTAGCTTGTCCATCAACCACAGAATGGTTAAGAACAATATGATATATTTATACAATGGAAATCTTTATAGGTACTCAGCTTTAAGGATAACCTGGAGGCTCTTGTAGGTAAATAGATGCAACTTGAGATCATGCTCCTGGGTAAAATGGTTCAGAGTCAACATGGATGAACATTGTGTTGTCAAGAGACTGAGGGACATAGTAAGATCCAAAATGCACAATGGATACTGTAAAAGTGAAAGGAAGACATCTGAAAGGGGAAGGAGGTAGCTATTGTTAATTTCCTATTATCTTGTTTTTAAGCCATTGGTCTGTTTTGCTGTATTATATTGGATATTATTATATTGATTATATTGGATAGTATAGGCAGCTATTTCAAAGATAACTAAGTATATTATGATAGCCATTGTTAATTTCCCGCTATCTAGTTTAGAAGCCCTGTATTGCTTTCAGTGTTTTGTTTTCATTGATTTTATTCTATTTTGTTTTGTTTGACTTTATTATGTTTGATGGTATAAACAGCTAATTTGAAGACAAGAGGCATTATGGTAGCTGTTATGGATTTCCTATTGTCTTGTTTTGAAGTCCTGTGTCCTGTTAACTGTTTTATTTTGATTGGCTCTATTTTGTTTTGTTTTGTTTGGTCTTATTCTCTTCAAAATAAAAAAAAAAGAAGCAAAGTTGGAGACAAAGGAAGACCATACAAATTTTGAAAACTGGTGTAGAAGACAGGAGGGAAAGAGAGAAATCAAAAAAAACAACAACAGAATAGAAAAAAATCTAGAAACAATGTTCATACACCAAAACAAGATCAAGGTAAAAAAGGAGAAAAAGAAGAACAGAATGTCTATTTCAGAGCATGTCTCCACTGGAAGACAGAGTGGGCAGACGGAGGCCAGATTAATTTTAGCAAACTAGGCTTAGGAGAAAGCACAACTTGTCAATTCTTCTGCATTGAGGTCTCTCTCTTCATTCTCCCCATGGGCTTCAATTCTCACTTCAGATCCCTCCTCGGTCCTGGAGACCCACATCCCTTTTCCTTCTCCTCTCATTGTTTTATTCTGGCATCGTACATGAAGTCTCACAGAGGCTATTTCTCTGCTATTCACCACTCTACCATCTTCCTAAAGTCTCTTTTTTTTTTTCAGAAATCTTGAAACTTATTCTTAAATTCCAGCCACTGTAGTCAACTGTGTCCACTGCTCCATTCCACTGATGCGTTTCTCTATGGAGGCCTCTGTGGTCACCAGTAGTCACTGTGCATCTGCGGGTTCAAGATGCCTCTCCCACACAGTAAGTCCTGGACAACTTTTTATTTTGATGTTAGTTCAGTAATGGTTCAGTAATGCTCAAAATATCAACTGTTTTGACAAAATAAATGTATTGAACTTGGGCTAAAATCAAACTCTGGCACACAAGTGTAATACAACTTAACAGGAATCATCAATTCACCCATAAATATTATAAGGAATAAACATAGTCACAGATTGGGAGGAAACAAACAAGTGTCTTGAGGCATATTAATGTAATTAGTTTCTAATGTGACAAAATATATTAACTTAAGGTTCTGATTAGCTTGTCCTATCCTAGATAGGTATTGCAAACACAACAGTCTTTAAACAAGCCATTCCAGTCATGATGAGGTGGTATATGAATACATGCACACATTTAGAGCACTATTTTCAAAGTTAATTCAAGTAAAGAGAGCAAGGCCTTTTTCAGTGTGTAGGCAGACCATTAATTATGAGCTGCTCAAATATGCACAGGTTACTACAGGAAAAACTTAAAGGTCTTACACTAGGTTTTAGGAGAATTCATCTACTTAGACTTTTCATATACCTGCCATAAATGAGGCTGAAATGGCAGAATGGCTGCCCACAGCAATGACCACCTCACATTAGAAGCCTGGCTGATTTCTGGTCTAATAATCTATGCTAGTGTTGGTGTTTTTTGGTCAAGAGGGTATGAACAGAAGAATTACACAGCATGCTTTATTTTAAATGCCACTCACATTACTCTGTTCAAGCTGCATTGAGACATTAAACTGGCTGACTATAGACTTTGTAAAAATGGCTCCAGAAGATCCATACACTGAAATCTTTGTGATCACACAGGTTGGAAACGTGGGTGTTGATTCTGCTCTACAGTGCAGTTTAGTCAGGTTTAGTTTCATACGTTTCCATTGTATTTATAGTCTGTCTATGCTCCATCTGGCCAAAGATGAGCACTGTCCACTAATAAATGCCTCTTCCACTTTAAGTTCGGGGCTAATTTTTGGCCAGAATGCAATGATTAAAACATTCAATCCTTTTATGATGGCATAGGAAGATGGTAAAAATTTCCTAAAGTGCAATAGATTTACAAGTACTGTGTGCCCTGTTCTAAACATTTTATTAAGTAGATACACCTGACAGTATTGAGGTCAATTGTTAGGGTGCTATTTCAGTTAGTCTAAGTTTAGGACCTTGCACATTTTTTCATAACTTTTTACAAAGTACTTCTTTTATTGCACATTCAGAGAAAAAAAATATCTTATGTGCATGTCCTTAAAACTTCCAATCTTATTTTGTCTCTTGGAAGTTACTGAATGTAGCTTGTCTAGGAAGGGGATGGAACTAGATTCTAAAATTTATGAGACCCTGGGAATGACAGGTGGGAAGAAAATTATTCGCACATGACAGATTTCCAGATATTTTTTTGCTACTAGTTTTATGTAATGTTTATTGAACACTTAGACAAATATTTATTTTTGTAAGCCTAAAAGCTGTCCTTTGAAAGCTTTTTGTTTTTGTTTTTGGGAGGGGGGTTTGACACCAGGAATTGAACTCAGGTCCTTGTACTTAGGAAGCAGGGACTGAACCACTGAGCTGCATCCCTGGCTCTGTTACTTGAAAGTTTATTTTTTTATTTTATGGGGGAAAAAAGTAAAACAAAATTTCATAACAATAGAATAACAAGAGTTAATACATGAGTATTGTTATCTTTGAAGTAGTTACAGAACAAGAGAGGAACATAAAAAATTCTCCAAATGATATTAGCACAAATCTTTCTTTTCAATGAACTAAGAGAAACTAGTAACAAAACTATCTTGTATTTTTTTTCTTTTCCCTTACTTCCTTTCCCCTTTCCTCCATGCTAGTTCCTTTTTCTTTTTGAACGATTTCTTCCCATTTCACAATACGTATTGCACATTTTGGACCTTATTTACTCTTTCAGTTTCTCATATCAGACAATATGATGTTAACACATATGAGTTCAATTTATTTCACTTATGAAAATGGTCTCAAGTTATATTCATTTACCTATAAAGGTCTCAAGTTTATCTATCCTTCTTTTTGGCTGAGTAGTATTTGATTGCATAAAAAGATTATAACTTTTTTATCCATTCCTAGGTTGCTGGGCATTTACATTGTTTCCAAAATTTAGCTATTACAAATTGTGCTGATATAAACATGCACATGTATTGCTGTGGTGTGATATTTGTAATTTTTCTGGGCAGCACCCAGAAGAGGAATACCTGGGTAGAATGGGACCTCTAATCCTATTTTTTAAGGAATCTCCAATACTGATTTCTTTTTTTTTTCATACTGATTTCTACAGTGGTTGCACCAATCTGCCTCCCACCAATAGTGAGGAGAGTTGCTTTTCCCCACAGCCTTTCCATCATTAGTTAGTGATTGATTCCTTGATGATAGCCATTCTTTCTGGAGTGAGAGGGAATCTCGGTATTATTTTAATTTGCATCTCTCAAATGCGCAATAATGAAATTAAAGACAATACAAAAACACTGGTGTTTGAATGCTGACTGTCACCATATGCATGAAATTACATATTTTGGGGTAGTGTCAGCTTTTAACACTAAGACATATTAAGCAGACCCGGCACAGGCAGGGTAGCCATAACTTTTTGATGTTAGTAAAAACAAAATTGGTGGCTTCAAATTACATCATGCCAAGGATTCGATACACTTGTCTTAACATATTAATGGAACATTTCAAACACTGAAGTGTCCAGATTCTCAGATGTTTGATGTGTGCGTTTTATTTAGTTGTGTGTATTTTTTTTCACTGAATCTCAATCCTCAAATTGTGGTTTGTCTTTGTTGTACTGGGATAATCAGTGACTTGTACATTTGCCACTAGCATTTGAACAAGTTTAATCAGCAAACAATATTTTCAGTTAAAGTTTCAAAACTCATGTAAGAATTGAGTTAATGGGGCCACAGATATAGCTCAGTGGCACAGCGCTTGTCTAGCAAGTATGAGTTCAATCCCTGATACTGAAAAAAAAAAAGGACTCAAGTTAATCTTGCCTGTGTAGGGATTAAACCTCAAAGCACTGTTGCTTTAGTAACTGTTTTATGTATTAGATGCTAGCACTGCATGTGCTGAGCATGCTCTGATTTTATTAAAGGAAAAAGTTGAACTGTACAGTCAAAAATACATACATAAAAATAAAAAGACAGTGCAACAACACACAGAGAGAATGCTATGTGATGGTGAAGGGAGATTTGAGGGGCTATGAATCAGCACACCCCAAGGACTGTCAGTGATACCAGCAGCTGAGAGAAAGGCATGGAACACATTCTCCCCTGGGGCCTACAAGACAGCATGGTCCGCCCTCACCTTCCCCCATACCTCCCTCGCGTTCCTGGTCTCTGAATGGGACTGTTGCCCTTCTTACCATTTGGGCCATGCTCATTTCCACTTCCAAGCCTGCCATTCCCCCGCAGGCACCAGACACTCCTGGCACTTATCTGAGGCGCCTTCTCCTGCCAACAATCTCTTTCCACCATGTGGTCTTTGAGTGTTATTCTTACCACATGACTTAATGTACTGTGTATATTTACTACATTTTGTTTGTTTCATTCATAAATCCTATCTCTTAGGCTGGTTCCTGAGAACTTCAGAACAGAGAAACAATTTACTTCTTGAGTATCACTGGGTAACCTACAGCAGCTCTTCAGAAATGTTAAGCACAATCAATAACATTACATGCAGCCAGGGTTGGTGCTGCATGCCTGTAATCTCAACACTTTGGGAGGCTGAGGCAGGAGGGCCACAGTCCAAGCCCAGGCTAGGCAATTTAGCAATTTAGCAAGATCCTATCTCAAAATAAAAAAACAAAAAGGATTGGGGATGTAGTTCAATGTGAAGGCCTTTGGTTCAATCTCCAATACTGTTTTAAAAAAAAAAAAAAAAACAGCATTCCTTGTTTGGCATCCTGGTCCACCAAAATTGGAGAGGACAGAGCAACGTACCTTTCTTTTAAAAAGTCCTCCAACTCTTTGCAGTTCTTGCGACCATTGTTCAAATGCTGGATGATGGTATCATAGCCAATAGTGCTGAGGATATCAGTGCTCTGGTGGAAAAGAAAACACAGTGTCAGAGCAAGAACAGCACAGACAGCAGCCCTGAGGCCTGAAGAGCAGATGGGACTTGGGGGGGGGGGGGGGCTGGCAGGGCCACTTGCCTGAACTGCTGTACCTCTAAGACAAGCAACCAGAGAGAACAAATATATTAAGTAAAAATGCATACGACTGTATAAAAGTTTTTATCTTTTAAATGAAGAAACCAAAGGGCCACAAAACATGAAGTGGCAGATGAATGAGCTCTGTGGGTGAGAGAGGAGGCCTGGCATGGGCCTCTCCCTCCCTTCCACTTGTGCCCCAAGTCAGGCCAGAAGAGGGAGGTGGAGCTGTGCACCCGCCCCCCGCCGCCCCCCCCCCCCGCCCCGCAGTCCTCTGCTAGGTGTGTCTTCAGACTACTGGGGGAAAATTGAGTCATGCTCATGTCCATCTTAACCAGGGTCTATTATAAGGGTAATTTTTTCACTTATTCCTCAAACTTGCCACCAAGCTTAACTCGGACAGCTCTTTCCATGGCCAGTCAGCCGCACTGAGGGCCCAGGGTATCTTTGCCAGGCACCTGCTGCAGAGTGGGAGAAAGGGGTCTACTACCCACTAGAAGCATGAAGGCGAGCCAGCATCCAGCATATGCCATGAGGTCACTGGCCCCAAATTTAGGGGAAAAGACTTAAGTGTTTTTAAAATTAGTAGTTTAGCCATATTTTATTCTGGGATGTGCCATCTAAGGATGGGCCTTTGGACACACCCACCCGGCCAAGGAAGAGCAGACACAAAGGCCCCTTCATTCCTAGCCCTAGTCTGCAGAGCAGGAACAGTGCTGAGTGGGGTGAGGGATTTTAAAGCTACCTCTACCCACCTAGGACACTGCAGAAGCAAAATACTTTCTGCTCCACTTGCTGCCACTCATGGTGGCCTGGTTGAGCAGACAATGGTTCCAGAGACATCCAGCAGGATTAAGGCCTGAAGGTGATACAACATGGCCCCTGGAAACTTAAGGAGCCATACCTCACATTGCATTTTTTAATGGATTTATGTAAGTATCACAAATTTTATAGGTAGACATATGACTAAATCTGAGTTACACATGTGTTGATATCTAAGCTTTATGATTATTGTTTCAGCATGGATGTAGGCCATGAGAAAGACAAAAAACAGCCCCTACAAATCTTTATCCCCTCCATACAGACCCCTCTGTCTCAAAGCCTTACCCCCTCCATATGGACCCCATCATCTGAATTTGAAATTTGATATCACCGAAGTCTTTCTGTCCCAATCCTACTGCAAGTACCTGGGGTTACATTCAAGTCTTGGGCCATTCCTACATCTCTCTCCTAGAAAACCTATCTTAATATGATGCACATCAAAAGCCTTTAGTAAAACTCTGTAAAATAAAAATGCCTATTCTATACCCAGCCAGTTATATCAGAAAAGAACAATGAAAACAAAGACAAATGAATATCAAAATTGGTTTGTAGACAAAAGTTTTTGATTCTCCCCCACAAAAAAAGGTGCTTGAGTTATTCTGTCTTACAATGTTTATTTAGAAGGTGATTTCCCCTCTCTTAATTAAGGTTGCAGATTCTCTGAAAGAAACAGAAAGGGTAAAGCTTGACCAGAGTTTCCTGGAAACAACCCAAAATACCAGAACTCCTAGCTGCTGGTCTTAAAAACAAAAAAAAATTGTTGTTTCAGAGGAACATCTGCATACTCCAACCCAACCACATCTACATGCTCTGAAGCAACCAAAAAAGGAAACCCTCAGAAGACAGTGTGCGCAAGGCCAAGTTCAGAGTGGTGGGAGATTTGATTTGGAAACGTCTCCCTGGCAGCCACCATAGGAATGGTAAACTAACTACAAGGACTGAGCAGAACAGTGTGAATGTAGTTCAAGGTGCACTCAAGTGAATGGCAACTAGGACAGCACGACAGATCTCCATCAGGAAAGTGTGCCAAATTCACAACTCTGACATATTCAGCTTGCTTACCAGAACCCTCTACCAAATCCAGCTTTTACTGCACTGTTTTCTTCCCTTGCCTCCAAAAGGACAATATGCATTTCTACCTCCGGCCATTTATACATGCTTTTACTATTTTATGTCATTGGTAGTCATCTTTTAAAAAGTAACTGACTCATTACAGAGGATTTAGAGTCATTCACAGTAGCTCTCACATTAATGGTGACTGTTAATTTCATAGTAACTACATACAAAGTGTTAAAAATTTTACAAGCATGAGATAGAATTTTGTATGGGAGGGGCTACCTAGGGAACCATGTAGATAAAACAGGTACAATAAGCCAGGCATGGTGGTGCATGACTAAAATCTCACAGCACTGGAGGCTGATACAAATTTGGAGGATACAAATTTGAGTCCTGCCTGACCAATTTAGCAAGATCCTGTCCCAACATAAATAATAAAAAGGGCTGAGAAGTGCTCAGAGGTAGAATGTCCCTAGATTCAATCCCTAAAGCTGGAAAAAATGTACATAAAACAAATAGGTACACACAAGTAAAGTCATTAAGTATATAAAACTAGAAATAAATATGGAAAGAATGCTGTAGAAAAACAAGACATGCTAGTTATCAGATAAAAGAAAGTATTTTAAAATGACTGACTTACATGAGAAATTTTTAAATACTTCAAACCAGTTCACAATGAAAAAAATAACAAAACTTGTTGAGCAATTATAAAATAGAAAAATCTATAGGTTTACATACTTACATTAGAAAAGAAAAGCGTCTGGGGATTTAGCTCAGCAGCATAAGCACCTGCCTTGCAAGCAGGCAGTCATGAGTTCGATCCCTGGTACCGATAAAAAGGAAAGAGACAAAAAAAAAAAAAAAAAAAAAGAAGAAGAAGAAGAAAAGAAAAGAAAAAATCATTTTAAAATTAGTAGTTTAGCCAGGCATGGTGGTGTATGTGAGCAATCCCAGCACTTGAAAAGCTGAAACCTAAAGATTGCTCTCTGAGAGTTTGAAGCCAGTCTGTGCTACATGAGTTCAAGACCAGCCTGAACTACATAAAAAAGACCCTGTCTCAAAAAATGGAAAAAAATTAGTGCTCTAAGCTTTTAATTTAAGTAATTAGAAAAGAAAGAACAAATTAAATTGTAGTAGGTAGAAAAAAGAAATATAAATAAATATAAATAGTGAAATACAATGAGATAGAATAAACAACAGAAAAAATTAATGTAATAAAAAATGAACCTTTTGGGGGACCAACGATATAGCTCAGTGGACAGCACCTGCTTGGTAAACACAAGGTCCTAAGTTCAATTCCTGGTACACACAAAAAAAATTTTTTTTTTGCCTTTTGAAAAGTGTAATGAAAATAAGTTAGGTTGGCCAAATATAAGACAGAGGAAGAGAGAAAATTAGCAATATCAGGGCAAGGGATATAACTCAGCAGTATAAGCACCTGCCTAGCAAGTGCAAGGTCCTGAGTTTGATACCTGGTACAAAAAGAAGAGAAAAAGAAAAGAAAAGAAAAAAAAAAAAAAAACAGTGAACTTGTAAATTGAAAAAAAAAATTGCTGGCATCAGAATGAAAGAAGAAACACCAACACAGATTTTTAATCAATAAGTCAGATCTACAGATGTTAAAAACATAAGGGAATGTAATGAACTATGATGAAATGTCTTTGAAAGATAGAATAAAACATATATCTGAGTAGTCCTACATCTTTAAGGAAGCTGAATCCATAACTCAAAGACTCCGTACAATGAAGCCAAGTGTCATGAAGCACTCCTGTAATTCCAGCACTCGGGGAGGCTGAGGCAGGAGGATTGCTGCAAGTTCAAGACCAACCTGGGCTACAAAGTGAGCTCCAGGTCACCTGAACTGCATAGCGAGACCCTGTCTTAAAAAGACAAAAAAAAAAAAAAAGACTTCTTACAATGAAAACATAAAACCCAAGAGAATTTATTGTGGAATTCTATCAAATATTTAAGATGATAAATACCATCAAAGTCTCTCAGAAAATAGAAAAATCAAAAATACTTCTCATTTTATGAATCTAAACCTGATTTTATAAATCATAATCCTCTTATCAAAACAATTAAAGGCACATTACAGGAAAATATCTTTCATGAGCAGAGATGTAAAAATATTTTCCAAAATATTAACAAGGACTATATAAAAGTATAGTATATCATAGCCAGGCAAGGTGGTACATGTGAGTTTGCTGCCAGCCTGGACTACACAGCAAGACTCTGTCTCAAAAACAAAACAAAAGAAGCCAAACTTTTGAAAACAGCATAATACTTACATAGAAAATCTTAACGAGCTGATAAAAAAATTACTGTCACTAAGTAAGTGTGATACGATTGCAGGACATAGGAACATATACCAAAAGAGCTGGACTTTTAGATGATTAACAAAAAAGAAAAGGAAAGCTTTCAAACATCATTTACAATGGCATAAAAATGATGAACTATTTTAGAATAAATACTTCAGAAGTTGTATAAAGTGTATTGACTGAAATTAGAAAAATATTGTTGGAAGCAATGAAAGAAGACATTAGTAAAGGTTAGCATATTCCATGTTTGTGAATTAAAAGAGTGAACTGTTAATGTATCGGCATTCTCTTTTTTAAATTAGATTTATTGGTACATTTTGGGTGCCAATCATATTCATTTTGGATAACAATCTTCTTTATGATAGAGAATTTGTATCTGTACATGATGTAACATTTCCCCCTCACCCCCAACCCTCTCTTCAACCCTTCCTCACTGCCTATTTACAAAGCTTTGTTTCCATATTTTCTTTCTTTTCTCATTTTTACTTTTCCCTTCTTTCCTTTCATAACAGCATTCTCCACATTGATCTATACACTCAGCACAACCCCCATCAAATCTCAAAAGTCTCTGTTGTAGATAAGTGCAAGTTAACCTAAAATGTACGAAGAATTACAAAGGACTAGAATAGGTCAAAATGTCAGGCATAGTGGCACATGCCTGTAATCCCAGTACTCAGGAGGATGAGGCAAGAGGAG